TATATTCTTTTCTACTACAGATGTAGAATGGCATATATTTCCCGCATTTGTAACTCGGTATAAATTTTGCTCGTAGTAACTATTTGGCAATTATCAGCGTATAACAAATTGCCAAGGTTAAATAACTTGGCTGGTTTGGCTCTTCGAACGATTTATCCTATGGGAGATTGGGCCAACATAAACGCAGAAACTAATCGGGTCCAATGCTGGTCTTCGTTGAAACGACCCGTGTTTGAATCGCCACCGATCGATGCTACCAAGGCTAGCGTACGGTGCCATATCAGTTTATTGAAGCAAAAAATTATACTGAATAACCCCATTTTTAGGTAAAAAGAAAAAAGAAAAAACAACCGCCTATATAACATTGCCTCGCAGTATCACCGAAGGCTTCTTTTTTGAGAACGGAACCATCGAGTTGGGCCTTTTCTCGTTAGATAACTATGTAAAGTAATGATTACTACTCGCAAAGCACTGGAACGTGAAAAAAACCTTGCGATTCGCGACTGATTAATTGTCGGCAACGGGTTGTGATTCGTTTAGTTTTAGATTATCTGGATCCTGTGTTCAGGACGTGAATAGGTCTCTTTCTCGTCTACGACTATATCGAACCATGACAATCATAAGCAATCATAAGACCATCATGAGCTTCTAGAAGTTTTACATTAAAGGTATTGCTGTCCTTAAAACAACAGAGCATCAAGGAAGGACATCAAACTATTTGCTCCCAAAAAAGAGTTTTGTCTGTTCAGTGTCGATGAGCGTTCCTGCTAATTTACAATTGGTTCAAGCTGCTATAGATTAGTTGTACGGAGTCGGAGCCTTAACGCTAAAACTTTCTTTTAGCAGAATCCTTCCATGAAGGAAATCTCCCAGCAAATTTAGAAAACCCAAATTTACACAAAGATATTAGTTCATGGTTGACTGGGTGCTGCCGATCCCAAAAACAGAATTTATGGTCAAGGGGTCGCCTGTTGAGGACATTGACTATACCCTAATTTTTTTTAGTCACCACCATCGACACTGCCTAATGTGCCAATAAAAACATTCTAAAAGTAGAACGTTTTAATCTGATACCTTGTACCGGTATTACTCAATTATATATATAGTATGTAAGCTATTATTCATTTAATAGTCATATCCAGTACTTCTTGGCTGTGGAACGGATGATATTGCTGATCGACCGATCAGAACAGCGCCGCGAGCACAAAAAGAAGGACACTGAATGGCAAGGCTAGGCAGCCTTTAATTAATAACAACATTTAGAAAGAATTGAGCTTATTTCCTTCGAATTGTAGTACCGATCGATTAGTTACTGATCAACTGATCAGAGATTCATACCAAACGCGAGGTGAATACATGCAGACAATGATAAATCGGATTAAGCTCAACTATAATTACAAAATAAAAATATCAATTACTTTTATCTTCAAATATTAACATCTGAGATGTAGGCACAGTTTATTAGACAAGTCACGTACTGCTGAACGAATAGGTGTGACGCGATTGAAAGTAGACAACTGAATATGTCTTCATAAGCATCAAAATGCACGTATATAAGCTTCCAAAAGGATGATGATCGGCTGAAACTAAAAAATTGGTTGGTCGCTAATGGGGCGGGGGGTGAAAACGTCCATCATATAATGTAAAGGTTATTTTTTCTATTTACTGGTTACGTGTCTGCCATTTTGGCACGATGATTATCTGGAAAAAGAAAGGGGAGACTTAAGATCGAAACAGCTAGATTAGTTCCCAGAGTACATAACTTTGTCGATGTTATCCTGATTAAGGTTTTAATCTTATTCCAAAAGCAGCTGGTTGAATGAAGTTATTGTTTTGAACTATTTTGCTTGAGTTTAATACAATTGTGGTAATATAATTCCCTGGTAGAGGAGTAACTGCTTGGCGTACAGGGTGTAATATACAATCAGAAATTACCCGTTAGCCTACGTTACCCGTAGCGCTTGGGGCAAACAAAAAAATATCTTACACTTTGAGAAGGCCGCTGGACTTGCCTACGACTTTACAGCTAACGTTGTGATGAATGTCGCGATCTGCAACCTTCTTTTAAACAAAAAAAAAAGGATCTCTTAGATCGAGAATGAGGAAGCACCAGTAATTAACCTCTGAGAACCTTGTCTTCTACAGCACAATATTATCGTGACCGTCGTGACCTTTAGAAGTGTCTTCTTTTGTCGAGCGTAGTTTGACTTTTGTATGTTTAGTGTTAGTTTAGAGGGACATCATGCATACAGGTAGCCACTGGGGCAAACCTAATCATTTACATTTTTTTTATTATTATGTTTGGTTTTATTACGCTCATTAATTTCGGTGTCGTTTCTATTAACGTGCCCAATATACTAGCTCCTTATACATTTGATACATCAATCATGATTCAGTAATTTGTCGTTCGCTTGCCAGCAAATCAATTGTGTAATCAACCCCTTGTATAAATTAACAATTACACTTATGGCCCACATGTTCGTCTCTCTACCCATGCACCATTGTCACTGCTCGACAAAACATAGGCCATGCGTGCGTATAACTTTCAGGACTGAACGGCCTGTTTTTCTTGTCATCCCTGCCACACTCGTCCATGTTATTGCTTTTTTTATTATTAGAACCGTGATTGCTTATATACGCGCCGTTGTCAAGTAGTTCACGTTTATTTATACCTCAGAGGAGACATGCGCTCATTGCTTCTTTAGGCGGCAGTTACTACGCTTCTATCAGTTTGTTATTACTCTACCGAGGTAAAAGTCACAGTAATTATGTTTGACGTCATTTTGAATAAAACGCCACGGCCATATAGTTGACGGATCAGTAAAAACTTTTGCGAACGAGAGAAAACAATTGATCCAACGAGTCTTATGGAGACAGATAGAAAGTTAGCTGTTACTATTTGTTTCATCACCTGTTATGCCGGTGTAATCTAGCGTCGACGTGTGCGCAAGTGTCCCTGCGTAAATCATATGGAGAACGGCTATCAGTCGTATTTCCGTCTGCGTTTCCGGTGCACCCGACGACGTCATTCGGCAGCGTTGCCTGCCAGAACGATGGTTTAGATTAGTTTTCATTTTCTTATATTTCAATATGTTTTGTTATTTTCTCTATGCGATGTGTATGTGGCATTTCGAGACATAGCCATAGTGCAGATCGGCCTGCCACTGTTTCATGTTTACGCCTGCTAGTACAACCAGCTGGTCGTCTGCACCGTTTACCGTAATTGTTACAGCCGTTCTCTACAAAAAAAAAAGCACTTAGATCTGAAATAGCCAAAAAATTGGTCCTAGGGAGCAAACTAACATAAGGCTAAATACTAACGTGTAAAAAAAGAATTACGGCCCTTCTGTATCTAGTGAATATAAGCTAAACAAAACTGAATGATTTTTACTTGTAGCTATTTAATGATATGCATTAGGAAAAAGCAAATGCTCTCACCTATCTACATATAAACACCACTAATTAGATTAATGTTTGTCGGGTTTGTAGCTACGTAAAACATTACGTCCGTACACGTGATTACGCTTTATTATGGTAGAATTCAATTTGATCGGACATTTGTCACTGTCTTTCTACATGCATATGTAACAACATTGTTCAAGCTATTCTCGATGTACTTCTATTTTATTTCTGTTATTTTCTGGGTCCAGCTCTTCAGCTGAAGCAGCCGGTAAAAGTGACATTTCTCATTATATGGTCTGGGCTTTCAGCATCCTTTGCCAACTTGGCGAGTCCATTTCGGAGTACCATAAATTGCAGATGTAATCAGTAACATAGTATTTCACTAGTAAACCAGTGCCACATTATAGTGATATATATATATATATATATATATGAATACTGTTAAATCATTTCGTACGCTTAGAACCTTTGTGACAGGTTGAACGTTTTCAGAGTTGACTTTGTAGGTACGTTTCTTTGTGACTGTAGTGTTGTTGAAAAGCATGTTCCGGCATCGATTTCAATAGGGTAGAACGACGGACGTATTGAACTATTCATTGTACCGGCCAGCTCGAAAGTAGATTCGATCCCTGCTTTCGGTTCGGCGCGTACGTGAACGACTCATTCGTCACCTACATGATATGCTACACGTACCAAACTAGTAAGGTTTACTTTTGACAAGCAATAGACATAATTGTAAGAATACTCTTATTCATTGCCCTTATTTTTTTCCGGCACATGTTTCAGAACAAAATAAATTGGTGACCGTATTATAGGGTACGCGTTCTTTTGCGGAGCCTTCGATATCTGGGTTAGACTTGGATTATGTGGACTTGTTATTGTTATATCAAGAATTTCATTTCGTAAGTGCTATATTAAGGCCTATATATTATATAAGGTTATGGATCGCATTATCAAGGTTTTACGGGAGACCTTATTAACAAACCGAATTTAATTATTGGTCACTCTAAATTAATTTTTATAGAACAGCACAGTGTGCTTATGGTGACGTCGACTGTGTCTGACAAGAAACCGAAAGTAGATATATATTACAAATCCGTACTATTGATAGCTATTGGTTAGTAGCAGACATTCAAGGTCGGCCTTGTACCCGCTTCTCACAAAAAGACGTTTTGGATTAAGAACCAGTTTGTACGGATATTTTACACAGGTTTCATACATTGGCATTGTATTGGCGGATTCGTTATTCTAATCAATTGCACCAAGCCGAGTGTACATATATATATAGATATATATATATATATGGCCAAAAGTAACAAAAGATGCTTAACAGAGTATCCTGAAGTAGACTTATTCTAGGTGGTTATAAGAACCACAACTAATATTCTACTACCGTTTTTAATATTTCTGATCTATATTTCGTTGTCATGCCCTTAGTTGGCATGCTTCCAAGAAAACTCTAGCCGTCTCATGGCACACAAGTTACTTTCGATCGGGTCCCGCTGCTCCTTCTTGTTTCTTTTCTTAGAATAAATAATATCTACCAAATAAAAATATCTACTGTACATCAACGTCTTCCTACGTTTTTGCGTTTCCAGTGGAACCGGAGTTTAAATACATTGGAAATATGCACGGCAACGAAGTGCTTGGACGTGAGATGCTGCTGAAGCTGGCGGATGACCTGTGCAAGCAATATAACGCGGGCGATCCCGAGGTGACACGGCTGATTAACACAACCCGTATTCACATCATGCCATCTATGAACCCTGACGGCTGGGACAAGGCCACGGAAGTAAGGACAACAGGCCATGCTGCTGGCGCCAGCAGCAGCACTAGTGCTGCCGGCTTAAACGGTGCAGGCATCGGGGTCAGCCATTTAGCCCTTTCCTTCCCACAATTGCTACGTATGTGGTGGGTGAGTTCAGGACATGAGGACGTTTATAGACGAGCAGACGATAACGGCAATACGAGACGATCGGTCAGTACGATCGTACAAAGTCCAGTGCTCTCAATACGTTAACTTAACCCTTTCGGAAGGAGATTCACAACAGATCAGGAAAGACAGCGTTCATTTAGCAGACCTCTTTTTGGTTTGGCCCTACTTGTCGTCCGGATAAATCTTTGACTTCAAATAATCAAGCTAAAACTCGAAGAGTTAGCTTACGCCGACCACAGTTAGGGCAGTATATAAAATAGGTATTTAAAATGGCGTTTGGTAAAATCTTCAAGTATTCATAACTAGCAAAGCCATTCTTTTAATAATGTTGCAAAAATAATTAAATGTGTATTCTAGCCTCCTGTTTCTGGATATCATTGACGATGGGTAAACTGGAAAAGTTTACGTTATATAATATCGATTCACATCATAACAAAGTGTGTTACAACTGCTGATTAATCAGCTAGTTGTTATATATTAGGTTCTATATTAAATGTATAGTGTATGGACTCTTTCGTCGTAGTGGCCGAATGGGATGGGACTGCTAAATCCTTGTACCAAAAAGGCCACAAGGCCTATATAGAAAATCAATATATGTGAATATATGCAGAAGAGAGAGCCTGCAGACTGGACATGTATTGTGGTACATCCCGAGCCAAGTAAAACTATAATTAGGTGATGACGTAGGCAGATCCGTTTTAGCAACAACGATGGCTTCAGTAGGTGGAAGCTTTAGCTAAACCTGCTTAAAGTATTCAGCGATAATTGAGGACGCACTAAAGGATTATAGGTAATTTTGTAAGACTTTTTTATAATCGTAAATGTTAGACAAGGCACAATAGGCGCAACTAGGTCACCTCAGCTGATACGCTGTAGACAAGTAGTAATGGTTAGGGGCACGTTCTCCTATAACATCTTGGCTAAAACTACTAACCTCTCATTGAGGCTCGTAGTCCTTATAGGATTATCAGCAGATAACATCCAGGCAGTCCCAGGGATTTAAAGATACTTTGCACAGATTAGTTTTTTCGATACATAACCATATAATTACATGTGATGATTTAAAAGATGGATATCGAATGGTATCAGGTTTGAAGGATGAATGGGGACTGTTGGGCTTTCTGTCGTCAATCGTCTCTGTAAACGTTCCATTCTTGTGTCTTGAATTGACCTTTGTTTAGAGTGGTGTTTATTTGTCACCTGCCCTTGATCCATTTCACGCACTGCACGAATTGCCGTCTCTTGCACAACCAACACATGCTATACTAGGAGGACCCACCTTTCTTTCGGAAACTATTAACTTCTGTGAGGTCCCTCAACTTCTGTCCATCTCCAAAAAAACCGTGCTTAAAATATTCTGTGACGTCCTTTCTTTCTAAACGCTTCGGTATGTCTACGTAACTTTGTCGCTCACTAAACATCTACCAAGAAAGTGGCAAGTGGACATTGCTCGTTCCAGCTCTCTTTTTTTTAATTGAAATTAGTTAACCCAACAGTTATTTCGGCAAAGATTGGCCCAGTTGCTTAAAATTAAGATGACATTTTTGTCTTTTAGCTCTTTTTAGTGGTCTTAGACATTCACAAGCATGACACGACCTATTGACCTTATGATGGCTGGCATAGAAAAAAACAGATTATTCTGTTTTGTGTACCTTTTTATACTATAACTGCATTTACTTAAGCCAAGCTTTAAATATCAAAACGTTATAAAATTAGCATGAGAACGCACTTAAAAGCCCCCTTGAAAGCAAACCCTAAAAGCATCTAGTTAAAGTTACATACATATTTCAAACAACGTATATGAGGTTCTTCGATTACTAAACGTTCATAACTGAACTTCCTATAATCTTTTTAATTACGTAGCGTGTTTACATAAATAACTTATCTTACTTTTACAATTACGATTTTTATAGTTTCGATATACGACAAAAAACAATATTGCCTAGTAAAGATTCTAATTGTTTGTCCGATAGGGTTAATTTTCTAGAACAGCGGTCATCTTCCGAATCAAGACCGATCGGTATCATACGATCTATATTCATACCCAAAACTTGTTATGAGCAAAGAGAAATGTTTTTTTTTTTTTTTTTTTTTTTTTTTTCGATTTTTTTGCAGAGTATTCCACGGTGCACTTTTCAATTGTACTTTTCTTGGTTCTGTCACGAGTGGCCTTAAGTTTGATAATTCTGCATGTTTTGCTAATGAATGCATGAACGCTACCAGGAGCTGCATGATCCCAAAGTGATGCGATGACTAAACGTACCATTAGACATTGAGTATGTTCGTCTGCTATCTAATCTAAATTACTACGATTCATTGTACCGTTTCATCGTCAATACGTTAGAGCAAACGAGATTGGCTGACGGGCCGCGGAAACGCAAACGACGTGGATCTAAACCGAGATTTCCCCAACCTGAACCGGAAGTACAACAAAATTCGCAGGGCAGATAGTGATGCAAAGGCTCACCATCTCTTCGATGGTAACCTCGATCATGCCGTAAGGATCTGACCACCGAGTTTTCATTAACGTCTATCGAAGTGCTTTGAAGTTGATTTCTAACTAAATTCTACTTTGTACATTAAAATATTTGCCTAAAATAGCGCTAACTAATGAATTGAAATAAAGAGCAGCATTTCAATGGTATCCTTAACAGAGAACGTCCGATTTTAGCAAGCTTAACTTTGCTGCTTAGCCAATAACGGCGTTGGCACTGTTGAAATGTTTTCACTTCAGATCCAGCCGGAGACCCGCGCTGTCATCGAGTGGATCATCTCGAAACCTTTTGTGCTCTCAGCCAATCTTCACGGAGGCGCCCTTGTTGCTAATTATCCCTTTGACGATACAGCTGACGGAACCGTTAGAAGGTAGTAAAGACACTCTTTATATAAAATTACGTCTATCGTCCGATGCAGCGACATGGTAATCATGTGATCTAATAGAAAATCATGATCATCGGTCAGCTTCTCGTTCGAATCCTTGACCACTTCAAAGAGCAAAGGACAGTACAGCTATTGCGACCTCGTTTTCCATTCTTGAGTGTTTCGTCCTTTTTTCATTCCAGGTACACCGCCTCACCTGATGATGATGTGTTTAGGTACCTGGCCAGAGTATACGCAGACAACCATCCTGATATGCATATTGGGAGATCTTGTGATGCGAGCGATGGCTTTCAGAATACCAAAGGTAAATCTAAATGGCCGCATAGTAGATAGAGCTGCCCACTCAAAGCCTAGCTTCGTTCGCTTAAGCTATGCGCATGCTTTGATTTGAAGCCCAGGTACAGCGAATGAGCAAACCTTAGCTTAACTATCTTCAAAATAAAACACATGAGGCTGATGATGTACCTAAATAGTGCTATTTTCCATTCCTTCTAATCGTCTTCCGTATAAGCGGCTGGAAAGATCATAGCTGAGTAAAAATCAACAAAAGTTCGTAGATTACATCCTGAATTGATTTTCCCATACTCTCTGTGTTAATCCGCTGGTGACACACTGTTTGTTATCTACATAGTTATGGGAATGGCGTTGGTGGCTTCGTGTGACAGATCTCTGCGGAGCAACAGATGTCTGTGTAAAGGGAGAGCTAAATCGCTTTTCGACGAGTCTTGCCAAACGAACGCCAACAAATGAATAAAGGCCCTGCCGGCATCTAAAGACAGCCACCATTACCATAAGTAATAGCTGTGTCTAATACTGAGTGTGTCCGGAAAATGCACACGAAGTCCTTCGCTGCCAGGCGTCAACGAAGCGTTTACCGCGTCACCAAAGTTGTGGACGCGTGACGACATCACGTGAATGCCGTGCGCTTCGCGTCGCTCCTTCCGTAGGCGAGCAGACTGCCAAAAGCATGTCAAACGCCCAGCAGTGTCTCTGAAGTACTAGCGAAGCCGCTTGGCCAAGTCCGCCTGGGTCTTAGTCGCGATCCCTCGCCGACGTATCGGCCTCAGATAGAATCGCGCTACCAATAGCGTGAAAGGTTCCGGCTGTTGCTGAAGGCAGAAGATGTAACAGCCCAACAACTTCGTGTTATAATGCCTTCACATCCGCTACAACTCTGAATTCTTGAACGTCGGTAAATTAGTTGGTCACTGTTAGATAGGCAGGGTGTTACGATGTCGGCGAATCGCGCAGGGCTATCGAAAACGTGCGCCACATTCATCAGTGTCTGTTCCTTTACAGACACGAACAAGCAGGCTAAAGTGTGTCGAAAAATGCATCAAAGCAAGATACATCTGTTTGAGTAAGAAGTTGCAAATCTACGTATGGCATAGCAGGCACTATGAGATGGATAGCCGTTCAACCGTTGGGGATAGTAATGGGCGTAGTATCGATCGCGATAGATTAATTAGGATGTTCTGCACTTTCTATGCGAGTACAATCGGTGAGCATACATGAACACGTCCTGAAGCAGTGATATAATTCAACGTATTTAAGATTGTTATTGTTTGAAAGAGACGCTTGCCAGTTATCTTCTTCTTCGGGGCTTCTTCATCGCTATCAGTATTGGCTACGACAAGGAAATAGCGAACCAAAAACTCCACCTCTTAGTCCTCGTCCCCGGGGTGAAGGTCTCTATGCGATTACCATCATCTGTCTGATATCGAAATCAATATAGCGCACCAAGAAGTACGTCACTTACTTCTATTTCTAGCTGCCTATGTCGCGCTACTATAGCACTGGGTCTGGGTTCGCCCTCAGAACGGTGTTACTGAAAGTTATCAATCAGTGCTAATGGTTCTTTTAGGTGAGCGCTTCCCGACACGCTATTGGGTGTGCTATCGAAATGACTCCCGCTGTCAGACTCCCCTATGTATATTTTTTCAATAGTTCAGCAGCCGGATTCGCCTCCTCAAGCAAGCCACACATGACGCTTAGTATAAGGAGCTACCAGTATTAGAAAGGGTTGTCTTCGAGCGGCCGTTAGTGCAAGTCTGGTATGTACCGTTATAAGATAATCAGGACACAAGCCTAATGGTGCTTGGAGCTGTCGTCAGAATTTACTTTACGTGGTCGTCGACGATTGGCCAAGAAAGGTTTGCACTTATTCACTGTGACGAAGCTCTAGTGATTTATTAATTGTGACTGCGTGAATTTATATAGAATATTATAAGATAATGTTATCAACGGCCCTTTGCCACTCGCTTCCATTTCTAGGTGCCTTTACCGTATGCTGCACTGCCCAGCCATCCTCACAATGTTGTTAGCGGAAATCAATGGCCAACGGCTACAGCTTCCGCAAACGAATCGCCATTATTGATCGATCATATGTAGAATAAATCTACAAGTAGTTACTTCATTTAGTAATTTACTCATTTATAAATTTGCTAAGTAGTCCACGAAAGATCAGTAAAATAACAATCAAATAATACAGTAATATGAACAAATAAGCCATGATGCCCCATTTAAACACTTCGTTATCTCTATCCAGATTGGCCAACATGGTCAGACGGCCGGATTGTCGACGTGGCGATGCTGCTTAGCTTCAGACATCGAAATTACCTTCGAATTAGACAGTCTCGAATAGACGAGTTCCGCTTATGTCTTGGATACGGAAACTGTTTGATTTTTCTGTGGTTGCTAACTTATGCGTATCCTCCTGACCTTATCATCGATTTAAACAAATAGGTATACAGTATGCTAACGATTATTACCTAACCCACCGTATTCCGTTTATTTTAGGCATCACGAATGGTGCTGCTTGGTACGCAGTGGCCGGAGGAATGCAGGACTTTAACTATCTTTCATCTAACGATTTCGAAATCACACTGGAGCTCGGATGTGAAAAATACCCTTCGGCAGATCAACTCCCGATTGAATGGAAGCGCAATCGACGAGCTCTCTACGAATTCATGTGGAGAGTGCGTGGCCTTAAATTTTGAATCAAATTAACTTGCAATCAAGTACATTGGCAATATTCGTTGAACATAAGCTTACTCGTTTTATGTAGGATAATAATTTAACAATAGTAATAATAAAGTATCGCAAAACTATCTACCTGTCTGTTGACAGGCGCTTTGAGAAATCAGCAGAAGGTATATATCATTAAGCGCGTGCATTTCAACCTCTTCTTGTAGCAGCAGATTCTTTTGTTGAATTAGCTTACCGATAACCTGTTTCGCCTTCCAGACCCATCAAGGTATCAAGGGATTTGTCGTTGATGCTGAAACCCACCAGCCGATTTCCGGAGCAGAGATTTCAATATTCAACATCAGTGATGATGGAGTACCCGCACGCCTGAAGCACGATGTTACTTCAACGAAGGCCGGGGAATTTTGGCGCATCCTCTTGCCTGGTAGGCTTTCCTAGACATCATTAGGCGTTTAATGGACAAAATATTGACTCTTTTTCCCCAAATATGTACGTATGATACCTAAGCAGAGGGCTTCTTCTGATAATGCCAGAAGCCGAAGCTGTGATTACCTTACCGCAAGTCATTCGGCATTAGAAAGCCTCGTCTATTTACCGAATTATCTGGTACTTACTGCAGCCAGTTTTATAGTCAATCGCACCCTTGCGGCACATTTCCCAACGTAGACTCGGATATCCATGGGTGTACGATCAGCCGATGTCTTTGCAAGATGCCACTCCACTCTTGATAGCAAAAGTTGAAGAGTCGTAACCTCTTAGACAGTCTCGCATTGCCTGCTCGATTCTCGCGCCGTCCCCGAACTCTCGAGCGGATCCTCCACGTTTAAGCCGTCTCTTCTGTATAATATAAGACCGCTCATGGGATCTTGAAGCTATACGCAAAAAACGATGTGTCTACGTAATCGCTTCCAGGGGGATTTTGAAAGCCTACACCGCGTAGACCGTAAAGCATGTATACATTAGGTTGTGCTACTTCCAAGGTTTATAGTAATATTTGAATCCATTTCGAGCCGAGGCTTAAATAAAATAAAGTTCAGGAGTTTAATATGTGAGAGCTTCATAGGATCAGACGAATCCCTTAAGAGCGGTTAGGTCCAATCTGCATAATATTTTAGTCTCGACTTACAACAAAGTTATATTACTAGCATATAGCAGGTGCATGAACGTTCATATATGAATGAATTATCAATTCGTCCTACGTTTTCACTAAGCCTTGACGTCAGTGCTGAACTTGCCATATCTGAATTCTATCTGCCTATCTGAATTTAGGCCATTATACGGTTCAGGCCTCAGCACCAGGCTATGAGGCTCAGCGAGTCACTCTGACGGTTCAACCGTTCAGCAAAAATTCCGACCCAACCCGGGTCGACTTCAAGCTGCAGCCGCTCGAGGTTACGGTGAGTGGGAGGTCGGTATCAGTTTTATTTCCTTTTGAAAATGCATCTGTTTTTGACTAAGACATCGCAGGCTCCACCCGTTACGCACTAACAGAGAATGAGTCTCACGGGTCAACCAAAATTTGCAAGTGCTACCCCGAGTGACTCGTAAAAATTTTTAACACATTAATACTACTAAACTCATCCGCGCAAAGGTAAAATGCATGAATTTTCTGTAACAGCAACAGCTGCTAAGTGGTAAGGAATGAACCAGATAGCGAAAAGAAAGATAACAATTAGATAACACCAGGAACTTAACTCAAAATCGAAACAATCTCTCTTATTTATTTATTTATTTTGCTTATTTTTTTTTCTAAAGTAGCTCTTATTCATTTTGCCCTAGTATTTTTCTCCGCCTCATTACGTACAATGGTTATCGCGTATTTCATGTCATTTTTGCATGCGTTCGTTAAGCTCTATTGCATGTCCTGTTTTGATAAAGAAACTGGCGAAGATTAGTATCGATCGTACGTTAATTGGGCTCGGACCTAACTAAATATATATATATATATACATTTTTCCAGTATTAATTTAATTTAGCGTTAAGCCGCTTTCCAAGTAACTTGTAATCGATATCGAAACCATGTCGTACTTGTGTGCAGGATATAATCAATGTTCGTCTTTTCATTAAAGGAACTTTTACTAAGTTTAACTGCAAGGTCCACGATTCAACTTTTCTTTCGGCTCTATTCGTATAACCAATAGGATAAGTATATATTCTATTCAACAGTGGGATAAATTTTTTGAAAAACGCTCACGACCAGATCAAATTTAGAAGTTACGTTACAGCGATACAGTTACGATTCTAGCGCACCAGATTTCTTCCCTGCATTTGTATTTGCACTAACCGAATTTACGTACGCAATTACCCGCTGCGTCCAATCCGCCCTGCGTCACAAATTGCAGGTACCAACCAGAGATGCGAACTCCGATCCAGACAAAGAATCGCTTGATATTCTCGCGCTGATCGAAGCGGAGGCCCGACGTATCAGACTCCAAGAACGTGAGCAACAGCTGGAACGCGAGCAGAATTTCATGGAACGACTGCTCCAAGATCAACAGGACAACTAAATATAGGACTTTAATATGACGATCCTTTTGCTCGAAAAAGCAGAGCAAAACGAACGCGTATTAAGAAAAAACGGCCACATTGGTAAAGAAAAGCTAACTATACCTGGCGTACCTAAGAGGCTCGTCAAGCTATATGCATCTAAGGGGAAAACATACTCGGGCATAATCGTTTATTAATTATAATTACGTGCTGTATAATATAAAAAAGAACAAGAATGTGATTTGGATGGAGTTGTGTGTGTAAACTGTGCAGAAAACTGCACGCTTAACAGGCATGGGGCTAAGTATACGAAACAAGACGTATGTAGTGGAGTCTAGCTAACGGTGCGCTGTTCGTAATTATTATGATTATATATATAAGCTGTGGTAAAAGACTTGGATAGAAGCGTCATTTACAGCTGAAGAGAATGGACAGCAGATAGTCTGCGTGGGAAAAAGCTTAATTCTACAAAATCAATAGTCATACGAAGAGAGGTTATACGCTGGAAATTTAAAGGGACCTAAATTAGGTTATGGCCGTATTTAGAGAAAAGGTTGCATACCTAATTAACCTGTCTGGAAAGACAATAGCAAGTAAACGCGCTTCTCCCGGTCGAACACCGTTTGTCAGTTTCGATGATCCTGTACAAATCGGGTTTCGGTAGTTAACTGGTTGCAGAAATACCACTGAATCGTACATAATTGATCGGTTTTACTTTGAGAACCTTAAAACTGATATTGGTTGAGATCCTAAATACATCGCCAGCAGGGCAGGACATTGCAGTTAGTAGGATATGTGATAGAACATGCAGCCAGATCTGTGTTTGAGTACTCTGCTATAATATCAGTTTCTCGAATGTATGATTCTTGCTTCTTTTTAATGCAACTGTTGCATGTTCTATCCTCGTTGGTGCAGCTCGTTAAAGGCTAAGATCAACGAACTGCAGCCTATGTTCAATTCATGGCAGTTGAACAAGATGTCATCGAATGTGGGCCAGTGTTTTGTATATGAAACTTCTTACGATGCGAAACACTAAAGTTCGGTTGATATCGCCCTAAATCATGCGGAACTTTAGCTGTGTTTTATGTAAAATAACTATAAGCAGAACTGATGCGTTGCGTCAGCCGTCCCAGGCACGCTTTGTACAAGCGAAAAAAGATCAGGATTTTGCATGGAGCAAAGCAATTGACAGAGCTTACGCGTAGGTTGATTTGTTTCAACGTTGATTACAAGCCTAAGGAAGTTTCATTTAAATATCAATTAACTGTATTCATTCCCCTAAATATCAGAACCCATTAATTTGTGATAGGATTATGATGTTTTGAACAGTCTGCTCAGTTTTATGAATAACTTATTTCTTATCGCTCTGAAAACGTTCATCTATCTTCGCCTCGCCTCGCCTCATCCCTGGCATACATCCTGTTCCACGTAAAACTTTGCAATTGTCGTATATATATAATCTACCCGAGTATATATATATACTTTCTTGAAAGCGATGTGACAGACTCTCTCCTCTATAAACGTAGAATGTGGAGACGATGAGCTTGGGAAACTCGCGTGAATGATCTTTGATGTGGGTAGAACTATTACCGGATACGTTCTTTGCCCTCCTAGCGGAAACTGCTATAGAAAATAAGCTACTGAGATTCTGGCACAGTTCAGCAAAGGGCTTTTGATGTATCCAAACGCAGTTGTGTCGGAACGCTTGTGGAGAACGTAGCAAAATACGAATGCTTGTTTTCAGTTTGTAATCACTTGCTGTGGTGTTTGACCTTTCGAGCGGCTTCGTCGGATGTGGAAGTGGTGCTTCATTAATGATGCTGAAAAATTCAGATAAAAACATCAGAAAACAAAAAACGAAAATTGAGTGCTTATACAGAATCGTAAAGATTAACCAAGTATCTAATGGCATCGTTATGTTCTAAATTTGGCGCTTTTTTTTTTTTTTTTTTACTACAGCTAGATGTTTGTAGTAAACCCACGCACTTTTCCGAGTTCATTCGCTATTTTGGCAAACCAGGTGTACTCAATTTTTCTAATTAATTCTCTTTAGAATATGGGCTTGGGTGGCTTAAAGTGGGCTTATAATTGCTCTTTTATGTTGGCCTTATTAAATTACCTATTATACGCCAAAGAAGTTGTTTCTCTTTTCAAAATACGTGAGCCGCTACATACATAGCCACTTAGGCCATATTTTCCCGCAGTTTTGAAGTCATCTAATTGATTTATGTTGGACCACTCCTTAACAGAGCACATTATTAAATGTTACCTCTAGAGGCATATATATATACGTGCGATCTTTATCTAACGCTGTTTTTGTCTCCTTCATGTAACCTTTATCTTCTCTTTGATCCAACGGTAATCTTCTGTAGGTTTAAAATCAATACCTAGCGATCTTAATCATCATGCTGATTTCGGATAAACATATGATATATGTTTGTATATCGATTAACTAAATAACTAGCTTTTACGGCTAAATTGTTACCACTAATAGTGCCCTTACGAATCTGCCGCCGCTCCACCGACCGCTAAACGATCAATCAATCGATCAGTGTCACAGTTCGCTGCGAAGACAGTCAACGAATCGACAAATTAGTAGTATATAAATTTTATTATATTTTATTTCTTTTATAATTATAATGGCCTATTACAATGACATTCAAGCAGTCCTTAATTATATTTTTACCGTAATTAGGCGGTGCAAATAGCTGAAGTCTTTGATATGCCCAAACACTGGTGACTCGCTGTTCGTGTGGAGATGTTCGCAGTACAGGAAAGATAATTAATTACTTAGGTTTATTGTTTCGTTGAGAATTGCAGCGAGTACATATGATTTTTTATTGACAAACATTTGACAATAAAGAGAGAACTAGATTGGTCTCTTTTACAGGGCCTTAATCGATTCTCAATCGAAACCTCAATAACGACCAGTGCTTCGAGGCCTTCGTGCAGGCCTATTTTACAATACCTTAGAAAGAGAGTTGAGACGTACGTGCCGACCCTGTTTCCGAGACGATAAATAAGCCGACATAAAAATGTATTTCATCGTACCGCGAGAGAATACAGATATTAAATATAAACTGGACTTGATATTGGCCATGATGCTGATGGTTCTAATGATCGTAATTATAATAATAATAATAGGAAAAACAGAAACGATAACTGTTAGTCGAAAAATAAGTGATAAAATAATAAATTAAAACCGTTATATCATGGCTTAGACGTGTCTTTAATTTGTTACGATTTCTATAAAAAAAAAGTTTGACCTTTACATTGGAGAATATTGATGGCTAGCGAGGCGAGTGAGATCCGATATTGTTTTATTGTCCAAATAAAACACGTACGGGATATGTATGGTAGAACCTTGAAGTTCCCTAATCGTCTAGACTAATGTTGGGCATTGTACTTCTTCCGAACTGAGAGCCGTTATTGCATCAAGGGAATTGTTCTAAAATGGATGCGAACACAGTATGATTGTGATGTTGTTTATAGGGTAAGTGAGCATAAGACAAAGGATGCCTCGAGAGAAGGGGCACTTACGTGTATATATCAAATCAATAAAGACTGTAATTAGCGGTCGATGAATATTGGCGTTATTTGATTTTCGAGTCCAGCAACAATTACCAAATCAATCGACTTATTAAGATCACTACTAGTAAGTCTTCTTTTTTGTATTTGTTGAGGCTTCAGGAGATCAGGATGGATCCTTTTGCAGCACTTTTACCACAGTGCAATGATTCTGTGTGTATTAGTTTTCGTTTTCAGCTTCCTTACGTAATAACCCTTCCTTTGTTTCTCTTTCCAGATTGCCAGTGTTTTGTCTTGGTAGCAAAATTCAATCGTGATATTGATCAAAGGATGAACATTTCGGTACCTCATAAAATACCGAAAGACATACTGTTAAAAGAAGTAGGAAGATATCATCTCTAAGCCTATTACGAACTCGACAAGGTCGATTCTAAGAAGACCCAACGCAAACCTAGCAATTGCATAAGGATCTTCGAAGAATGGTACACTTAGTGGTTCGATCTGCTTAAAGGTTCGTGAATAGACGCTAGAATAAGGTTTGCCAACAATAAAAAAAGAGCTGGAAACGAGGGCAATAAACAAAAAAAACAAGCTAACTTTACGGATTGAACTAATGCCTATATGTTATAGATAAGGACCACAGACTTCTGTCTGTAGTCTTATCCGAGTGGCCAACTTACAATACTAATAAGGCCATTCGTTGGACAAAACTAGATTTGCCTGACCATATCGCTTGCTTTCCAACAAAGTACAGATGTACGAATGCCTTCGTTAATTCCGGTTTCAGCTAGGGACGTATACGAGCAGCAACGATTAAATCTGGAACTGCAACGCCAGCCACCTTAAAGCTCCATGAATTGAAAAATCTCTTTATCCAAGTTGAAATCATCTTTATTGTATTGACGGAGGAGCAATTATTAGGTGCATAACTCCCTGACCGCTCTTTGCGATAAATTATTTCTATTTGACACACTTTTATGTCAACATATAATTTATCTTCCCGGTCTCAGTAATTTCGACTGGTGTTATTGTCGATTCGATCTTAAGATCATTTGGATGCAGATAGCATTCTGTTGCGCAAATTGGGCGCTCCCAACAATTTCAGTGTTCGCAGCACAACGGATATTTTAGCAAAACTAAACCTTTATAAAGATGTTACCGAAACATAGATAAAGAATTAAATATCAACCTGTTCAAGTGATGAACAAAAGGATTTACAATCGTCAATAAATTTAAGCAAGGTTTACATGCATCGTCCCGAAAAGGTTATCTTCACATAATTTTGCCCTATTTGCATTCACTGAAATTTAACTAGTGAAACGTAGGGTTAGTCAAACGTGTTCCCGCTAAGCTCGGGTTGATCTTCGTCAAACGTGGAGCACCCATTTGAAAATGAGGATCGTGAGGAAATTTGGCTGGCGAGGTCCAGGTCTGCGTGTCACCCCAGCTTTATTCTGGATTCATTCAGTGGTAGAATCTAACTGGGATAGGGTTCTTTTGTCGACGTTTTAGGTGCCTGAATGTCGATGTTGAAATCGTTGGCACCGAAACTGCCTTTAGGATGTGCGGCGGCCTTTAGCCGTCTAACCGAATGCCAAGTATCGGGCCAATCTTAGGGGATAAAATTAGGTAAAAAAATTCTTTCAGTTTTTGACAGCCTTTGGCTCATTTCTGCTAGCTCAAAGTTATCGGGATAAGTAAAACCGGTCTGTTAACAAGATGAAGTTCAACTGCTTACGTAACCTGCTTGACAAACAACTTCGCGGGAGTAAATCGTATCGAATTTTTATTTCAGCGAACCGTTCTTTCACCGAGATCAGACAGCGACCTTTTACCTTCAAACGAAAAGTATTCTTCGCGAATAAACCGTAAAGCTCTTTTTTTTTACCTATAGGCGTACCCTATTCAACTGTAACCGGCTATAGAAGAGGCTTGTCAGAGAAAAGTGCAATTATTTGGCTGTAGGTCTCTTTCGTCCAGTGATTACTAGCATTTATTGTCGTGTCAACTTGCCCAAAAAACAGTTAACAGAAATAAACGCCTACGAAAGCTGGCCAAAGGATTCAATTATTTTAACACTACAGAAAGCTTTGATCGTTATATCGCAACACCCATGTAGCAACTTACCGCAGTCTAAGGATATAAATACTCTAACAAACAAAATAGCTACAAAACACTAGCAAAGATATTACGGGAATTGAGGAACAAAATGTTAAAAACGTACTGAAAACTAAATCGCCGAAAAAAAACCGTTATTCAAATAGGCGCCTAATAGAAGCTAATTATGTCTATTTTCACACAGCTCGTGTAAAAAAGACAATCATATCCGTAAACAAGGATAACGTAGATCCATATCATATTTTACAGTACAGGTGTACTTAAGGCTTATTATCATATCAAGGCAGATACAAACCCACTTCGACAGAATGGCCCGAAATTTTGTCTCAGAGGCTTCAGAAAAGTTCCTGATTAAAAACTGTAAATATTTCTAGCATTGATAATATACATTGAACAGGAGCGTAGTGAGGCGTCAGAACTGCAATCGATGCCGAAGTTAAGGATGCTTACGTGCATAGCAGTCCGCATGCACGGAGCATCGTCTATCGAAATACGTGCACATTTACAAGCGGAAGGACGGTTAGAATAGCACGATCGTCTCGAAATTATAGAACCGAATTTTGCAGAATGTAAAAAAAATTCAATTTTTTTATGAGCCACTACCGAAGTTATTTGCGCAGATCTGCCGCAGGAAGCCTATCCTTTCTTGCAACCAAAACCGATAACAAACAGCAAGTAAAGGAAAATTCGCAATGAAGTTTTTACGGATGACCGTCGCCCAGCATCAGGCAACGTGTTGATCATAAAGCTAGCTATACGACGTTAGGAATCGAGCTGCTTCTCCAAGGAAGAACAATTTCGTAAAAAAGGAACGCTGGGCTGAACAAAATGCTGGCCCAGGACAAGCCAGACCTCCCTGTATTGGTTGACAACCCTGTACCCAGTACCACTAGCTCCAAGCATCAATTCCTATACTGAAACCTTGATCGAAGTCCTCAAATCATTCGTAACTTACCCGAAGCTGCGCCAACGACGCCCATGGTGCAACGCGAGTTGTCAGCTGGCTACTGCCGCACTTCACTAGACACGGGAATTGATCAAGCGTTATACTGTGTATGAAGTCGCTCCGCAATTCCCTACAAAGCTTGTATCCGCGGTTACTATCAGTGGGCCCATCAGTTCCAGTAAGGCTCTGTGGAACGGTTGGATCTATAGTGATGCGGTTTTCAGGTCGTTATCGATCGGGTACACATCGTAGCAATCGTTCTCTGCAAGATGTTTGAAGTGATAGAAACAGAAATAATTGGCGGTATCCATGTCTTTAATGGGCAATTAATCAATAACTGTGAACTGGACAGGTAGGTTATTCATGGTTGAAATTGGTGCGTCTTTCATCTGTCTGTTCAACAGGTTAATATCATTATGTAGCATGTATGTCTGTGTTGGGTCGCCTCCCCGATTCGTTTATGTTTGCCGGCAAGTCGCAATGATAGGGAAAAAAACTGCATGCGACCGTTATCCTGAATAAGTGCCTTTGCCTGCGCTAAGGGGCAATCTATCCTACTTCTCTATGATGAGGCTGCATGCAAAGTCCTAGGCATAATTTCGAAAAAAAGCAACGCCAATATTCGTATCAGTGGATAAGTTTGAAGTGTTTATTTACAATTCGACTCGACTATCCTTTTATTCTCGTTGAAATCGGCTACTCGTAGTCGACTACCAGCTGTGTTCCCGTTGGTTCGAAAACCATATAGGCTTGAAAATAATCTCTACTCCAAACAATCGAAAGCCTTAGCTACTACGTGCTTTTCTCGATGTACGCATACAAGACTAATTCGGTCGTACATGCTAACTCATTTCTATACAAATTCAGTTTCCACTGAAATACGAACGGGATGCATCGACGGATAGTATTACAGACAGGCGTTTACATAATAGCTAACTTTTTCACTATCAGAAAAATTTACGTTAGTGATAGGTGGCGCTACCGACAATTGTAAACAAAGGATTCATTGCGTTGTATGTGTACGGGCAAGGATATGTATAGACTGTGAGTACGATGTGCCATCAGACAAAGCTTCATCTGGGCGGGCTAGGTTAAAGCTTAAAGACCCGTATTCTGCTTTTGAACTTATTGTGACTTGATTGGTGTTTACGTTTGCTGACTAAACGGGGTGCTTCTTGAAGCTTCTTGAAGAAAACTTCTGAACTTTGAAACAAATAATTGTTTATTGAATAGAAGGGAATGAACGCTGTAAAGAAAAAGCGGCCACGCAGACTGGCGCGGGTCTAACCGAATACCTTTTGAGAACTCGGTAAAAAGTTTTGCCCATAACAGGTCTCAACCAGTTTTCTGTACCAGTTTGATTCCTGATTTTACCCATTCTGTTTATGCTTCTCACGTGCTTTATTATCAAATTTGCATTAAACACTTGCATGTTCTACTGTTATTCGAGGTGTTCCGTATCCAAACAAGCATACTCCTTAAAACCCATCGTTATGCCAAAGGACTCACCCGGTTGAACAGGTGCGAATCCGAGCCTGGATGTTTATACGACTACACAACTGCTTTTTTTGTTTCGTTCAGAAACGCCATAGACAAACAATCTGTTCTAATTTGTTATGTTAACTACCTGTCCTATAAACACCGGCTGAAACTAGTCATATGCCTAACAGCATCACTGCAAAAACTTTGCTATAGGTGTCGCTATGGTATTCAGCAATGCCAATACTGTAACACATGAATACCTACCACTTAGGTACCCGTTAAAACTGCACGCATAGCGCATCAGCACATATATAATGAAAATTTCAATTAACTAGAGTATCTGTCACAAAAAATGTCACAAGAAATCTTGATACTTAACATCATATTCGTCAAAACGCAATTGTTTCGTCGAGAGAATGGTGGGGTAACGATTTTATATATGCGGGTTCAAATGCTTTGCAATGAGTCTAATCCGTACCGTAGCCCTCTACTACACCGTAAATATCTGTGTAAATAATACGTCGGTGTTACACTTGTTAGCCTACGACCATCCGTGTACTGAATAAGAAACACAGCGCATAACCACACAATGTCTATAAACATTTCTATAAAAATCCATTCATTCATTCAATGCTTTTGAGAAAAATGTTTTCATTTTTTTTTTACTTACGTTGTTCATTCGTGAGAACAATTCGTGAGAATTGTTTTAATAAAACATATGGAATTTGTTAAAGGTACTATGTATTTTTAGGTTTAATCTTTTTAGTGTTTGTTCTCTCTAAAAATTATAAACTTCGTTATTCAAAATGTGTACACAGAACAAGGATCGCGTACGTTCTTTTCATAACGTAATTGCTCAATATTAGGAGAATAAGATCGGTTATATTGAAAAGAAATGTCACCGAAGTTTTTCATACCGTACTCTGTCGCTACGAGCTTTTTTTAGGTAATTTTTTTAGAATGAAGAATGGTCAATCATCACGTCCAGAATGATCGTTACGTCTAAGTTCGTCCATCGTTCATCTAACGTAGGCGCTCTGGACAATGCAAATCAAGCTGAATTTGAATAGATAAAAATTCCCCAAAAGATTAACTATATCCGGAATAGCTTTCCTAACTGATTTTTCCGTTATGTTCACATTTCAGAGGAATACTGTATCTTTTATTTAATACTCAATATTTACACAAAAGTCATTCTCTTCTAAATACAATAAAACATAGAATAAAATTATAGAAGAGCACTAGGGACGTTTGTCTGAAAAAAAAATCCACATGTCTATCTAAGAGGGACACATCGAACCTTCGAGCAGTACTCAACAAATATGCACTCTATTAATCGTTTCACACGACCGATATAGATTATTTGTTTAAAACTTAAATTACATTTAAGGATAGTATCATTCCGTCGAGTAGTTTTTCGAAAATGATAGACTTCATTTTTGCAGGATGCATGCATATTTGCTCATAGTCCTTCAAAACAACAGAAGCAAATATATGATACATAGTATTCTCTGTCTGGTACTTAGCAAGTAATTACTCGGCGAAAGGCGAGGTTACATCAGTCCTCAGTATCGTTTGTCCGTCGGGTTGCATAACGAACTGTGTGGAAATGATCAATGACCCATAATTTGTATCTGATAAAAATCCGGTCTATATTAGGTGCGTCTGGATAGATAGAATACTTACTGTAATTAAATATTTAAGTTTATGCAAAATTTTACGTGTCACCTTGAATCTGGTCCATTCGATTTGTTATTACATGTCCTCAATTAATCGGAGAGATGGCGCCCTACATAATGTAAATACGATACTTTTTTGTGTTGATTCCATGTAGTTTTCGTCCGAAAAACCGGTGACACAAATCGTTCCGTTAGTTGTTTGCTCTCCCGACTAGGGCTTCTCTGTTTGCGAATTCGTGCCCACTTCACGTTGTAAAGTTGGTTCATCCACTGATTACTGTAATGTGATTTACCACAATAATAGTCCATGCCCAACTGGCCTGAGGTCCTGTCAATCTATCGCCTCGTCAATGTCATTATGAATGATGTGATGATCCTCACGGTGGATGACCTGTGAAAGGCCAGTGTCAAGGGCTTTACGCAGACTATTTAGTAATTTTGCTGAGGATTGGTGGAAGGGCAAATCCTCAGTAATGCGCACCCACCTGCTATGTGTAGTATTATTTTGAGGAGTTCGTTGCTGGTGATGAGAGTAAACCTTAGCTGCAAGGGTCATGAAGTAGGTCAAGAAGGCAGGGGTACTATTTGACGGAAATCTTATCGCGAGGACCTTCGAGGCGGAAGCACGCGCTGAAACCACGCATAGATGCTTCTGTTAATTTTTTCAGAGCTGCAGTCTAACCGAAAGTTTCAATCGAAAAGATTAATATACCTGCTGATTTGAGTCATACGAGGCTCAATTCAACCACAGGGCTGTGTAATTCCTCAATTAAACTCAACAATGTCAAAGAAAATTCAAGTTCTAAGTGAAATTCCCGCCCGCAACTGACTGATTTTTTTTAGGAAAGACTCTCCCTGGACTTCTTCAAACGCGTTTTCTTGATCTGACGCTCGTCACCAAGTATTCTTAATCCGATATGTGATTTTTACCACAACCTCTACAAGCCACCCCGGGTTTTCAACGAACATTATCGATAAACTAGAGACCCTAGCGTTTGCAATCAACTTTCACATCTACCATGTCAGTCTTTATAAGCAGCATAGAACATAAAAGAGTACCCAGACCCGGTTGCAAATTTCGGCACATATTTTCTCATCAGAATCCGGATGGCATTCAGGATAAAAGCAAGTAATGTTAGCAGGAAATTGTTATTGTTATACAAAACTTCTATGACACGTTACTTAAACAAGAGGTTTAGGCCCTCTCGTCCGAGGAGAGGTTCTTGTTGTTGGTTTCGACATAGGACATGGTGTATGTTTTAGCACGTAAGGGCGGACTTACATTGTTCGTGAGCCAATCTATATCGGTTCACAGAATGTTAATATCGTACTTATTATTAATTAATCATGGCAAACGAGCAACTGGACTATCACCTAAATCGCGGTAGATTTCGACCTATCATCGCCCAGACTGGGAGCTAGACTAAATTCATTCTCATAGTCAAGATTATATTTTTAGGAAGACGGTTTGAAGGGACACTGTCGCGACATCGCGCATTCGTTTATAGAAACATCCTCACTTTAGATGAATAAAAACATTATGATTTGAAGTAAACAAACGTACGATTAAGTAGAATATTTCACAATAGAATCGACCTGCTTCATGAAAGCTTTACCGGAAAACTTAACCGTCCCTCTATGTGTCGAGTTTTACGATCGGCATCGCCATTCGGCGCCCCATCAGATGCCCCGCTCCCTGCCGCCCCTAATTGATATTCTCGTCCAAGGACCATTCTACTAAGCTCGAACGGTTTTCACACGCGCAGTATGGCGCACTCTTATCAAATGATTAACCACCTAAAAATTCACGTTTCGGTTTGTTTTGATAGGGCCGGATATTATTGTGCAATGATAGCGCTAACTATCGCGTATGAAGGCTTGCCGTAACAATTCTATTTTAATAACCCTGCATCGCTGACGTCCAGCTTCTCGAGCCGAAAGGGAACAACCAAACGTTGAAGTTGATCAGCTGTTTTCACAATACCGTCTATAACCGAAACCGATATCGAATATAGATAAGTAAACTTAGCTAAACGTAACTGTTTAGTATTAAATGCTATATTTTATAAACGGCGCTATTCTATAACAGTGGCTATGTCTTATAACGGTTCCATTATGTTTCACTTAGTAGAATCTGATACTGTTCACGTTCAGGCGAATCGTAGTGAGCTACAGCAGATCCGGATGCTTTGTCTACACGAGTTCTATTATGGAATTATAGCTCGTCATCATTCGATAAAACATCCTCTACTGCACTGTAAAACATTGGTCTACAAACGTATTTTCTTAGAAGAGCCCCTGCGAAAATAAATAGCAGGGTGCTGATTGCTCTTAGTCGAGCCAAACCCACTTCAAAGTTAACGGATGTTAGCACTTGGGTTTGATACATGTAGCAAAAGCGTACTTGTTCACCTCGGTTAAATTAATAAGGCAAAAGATTTGGCCAAATGGAGGCCGCATTTGATTTTTTTTTTGTACCTCAGCTAGCTATCCTTACATTGAACTATGACGGTAAGTGGATTTTCTATGATAATCGCAGACGTGCACATCAGTTAATTGGACCGGACGGGCATTACCCTATCCATTATAACTTTTTGAGCCAGCTCTAGCTTATAAATTATGCCTGATTTACGCTACTGGAGAAAATGTACAAAGTATACTGCTGAAAAACTCCGCATGAAGTAGCTAAAATTAGCACGTAGAGTTAAATGACATTTATTGAACGACAACGCTTAGTGTTACATCGTAAGAATCAGGATGGCAGAAATGTGCGGGTTACAGTTAAAGGCTCTCTGGTCTCCCTCTCGCCATAATTTTATAGATCCTGCTATTTTCACAGTAGCAAGAATTTATAAGTTACCATTTAAACGAGCGAAGATCGAAGATAACGCTGGTACATACTTCGACTGAAAATTAAAGAACCACGCATATGCAAAAAAAATTAGAGTTCCCTATATCGAGGATTGCGACAGAAGTCTCGCATAAGTTCATGTTAGATTTACTACAATATAACCAATAGCTAAGTTTTTAAAATGCGCTGGACAGTACAGGGACTTTTATTCGCTATGTCTATATATGTTCATATATAACCAAGAGTTCCCGAACTTTTAATTGCGCAAGACCTGATTTTTCAAAATTTCGCGCTTCAAAGGTGTGCAGTAATCAGCAAAACTTAGCATCAAGGACCTTAACTTAAACATTTTAAATTTACGGAAAGTTAAGTTCGCGTCGCTTTGCTGCACTAATAGCAAAAAGACTCCTAAGCGCTGTTTCCACGTGCATACTTTCACAGTGGTATGAAAATTGCGTCCGCGTGGATCATTCTCCAAGAATTGTCCTGGTTAATGCAGAATGAACCGTCATTATGTAACTACCGTTACTAGAATTCAGTGATCGTTTCTAAGATCGATTCTATTAATGTCGTTAGGTTATACGCCTGGTTACATCGCTGTATTGTTTAGAAAAATTCGCCACTTAGGGGCAGGCTCGCTAAGTGCAATACTAACCAACAACTTATTTGATTTTTGGAGGCGAATGTCCGACGAAGCCCTACGGAACTACTAAAAATGAGCTCTCTCAATGTCAGGCTCTCTGTCACGAAGTCACCCCAGCGTTCGGAAAACGCATACAACACTCTCAAATAGCTATACAGTAATAATATATATTCTCATATTGATTAGGCGTTTCGGAAATGGAAAAGATTTCGAAGTGGCCACGTTGTCCGGAAGACCACTTGGATATTTCCGAAAAAAAATGCATATACACCAAATTCGTTGTGTGCAATAGCTTCTCCGGAACAACGTTCGGCGGGATGCTTTGGTTATTATTGTCGCCGAGGCAGATTTGTCGGGCTATATTTTTCATAGACGAGACATTTTTTCCCATCCGAATAGTTTAGTTGTTCAAATACGTGTTAACCCATTCGCAGACGATATTTGCTAATGGTTGTTTTCCTCTCGTTGCTGCTGTGACGATGAACCACTTCAGCGACCCTTTTTTTTATCTTCTATGACGACAGGCCCACGATACAGTTAATTTTTAATGTTCTATATTATATAATACGGTAACTAGATCTGTGGGAACGATAGGTCAAGCCTGCTTTTCATTTGGGAAATTTTTGGCGTGGCTCGACGGCCAATTCCCTTTGAGTTTTTCTCGCACATGCTAGTCACTGTGCTTTCTTACATATACATTAAAACAGTATTCTGCACTACTGAAATGTGCATTCAAGTTTTATTAATATTTTTGGAGGACCACTAAGAGAAGAGAAAGCGTGTCCTGGGCACTTGCAAGGCCTCCATGAGCACTTCAACACATAGGTCGTATGATTTTTTTTCTAAATTGATCCAACCTGTATTTTTAATGAAAGGTGTCGTACAAATACCATACGAAACTTGACTAACGTCGCGAGCCTGCGCTGTGGACGCGGAGCTTTCCGAACTAAAATACCGCTGCTGATTATTTCAGGGTTAACGAAGCTACGATAGGGAGAGTACGACTTCAACAAAAAGGTAACACCTACTATACACGAGTACGTTAGTGGCAGAGCCCCACTGCTGCACCAGATAATTTAGTAACCAATCTACCCTCCACCGAACTCAGTCTCATAGAGGCACAGTATTATACGTAGTGAGTTGCTGTTTGTTCTTTTAATTCCGTTGTCATTAGCGCCCCGATCATGTTCACGTCAGCTCTCCGGAGTTCGCACGAAGTATCGTCAATCGCACGATAATAAAACGTGCTTTTTTCAAGTATCAGATACGGAGCTGTGGCACGCGAGGCGTTACTCTATACGTCGACTATAGATATTTTAGGTTTACACGTCTCGTTGTACTGCTGCCGCTAAACTTTGCTTAAGAATTGCCCAGCAACTAAAGTGGACGTGCGGGTTTCAACGCTACACCATTTTAATATGCGTATTTACTAAATGCAGTCACACTATTCTGACGATTGCCACTGTCATCGTAGATTGGACCGACTTTAATATGTTTCCTCTGCATTTTGAAGAATCTTGAAAGCACACTGACTGGTCAAATAGAAAGACTATATATTTATTATTAATAAGCACCTCTCGCCCAAAAGACAATGGTACTTTTTTTGCTGAATGGTGCTTTGTTTATTGGACTACCTAATTAAGGTTTCATCCGTCGCGGAGTCACCCCATGCTAACAACCTTTGTGGGGCCCTGTCGAGTCGTTTTTCGGCGTCAACTTTTAATATTGAGTGGGTTCTGACTGGAACCATTCCAGCACAGCATGCCCTAGATCCACAGATATATAGCTGATGCGAAACTCTATAATTCTATTCCTATCACATGACGCAAGCGTGTGTTCAGCGTGTTTGCGTACACCCAAACAAGATTTACATCAAACGAATGCACAGAATAAGCGCTGTGCGTTAGGTACACAAGGCGATGCGTTCCGCTTTGAATTTGGCGCCCATACGCCATTCGCATATCTATACCTCTAGAGTATGATATTCTGATGTATCTACATATAACCAGGATCATCTGGTTTTTGCCGTGATTAGGCTTCAGTAAAGGCTTCTCCAGCATATTCAAACTCGTAACATTATAACAGCGTAACTAGAAACGAAACAAATGGGGGTTATGTGCTCGTTGAACTTTGATGATAGTAAAAATCTTGTCTGGTTAGGTCATCAAAATGTCGCTCTTAGTTGCCCTAACCAAGCACAAGCGATATGTAGACCCGATTTTTGCGTCCGACGCAGCGAAGCCAAATACCGGTTTTGGTCTCGTCATGACTACATAAGCATGTCAATACGAAAATATTGCTTAGAACTTAATTTCATCATTCCTGTAGAGTTACTTCGTCTTGTTATCTTTAGGTCGTGCAACTCTTGCTCGTTAGCTTTTCTGTGCTGGGCATGTAAAAATTCGTATACGTAACGACTCATATGCAGAAGGAGCGCTAAGCGTAAGGTATAATCTGTCGAGAGAAAAACCCTGGCAATTGATCATCTAGTGGCAATGTCGTAGCGTTTAAACTGGCTTAACTCACACACGACCTAATATCGGGAAAACAATTTTAGGATGTCCTTACGATAAAATCACCCCCACAGTCAATAAGTAACTCCGGTTTACGGTAAGTTATGTTGAGGGAATCACCGCTCAAATGTTGCCCCCATATTGGCTTACAATGCCTCTAACTCGTATATCGTATAATATATCTTTGTTATGTGGAAACGCAGAGTAACCACACACCTATCAAGTACCATATATCTACTAATTGGCAATTATATATAGCGACAGCAATTGTGCCTTTTTTATTAGTCTAGTTATCAGTAAACTTTCTTGTTACTAATTATCTGCTCGATATGACGCTATGGCTTCCTGTATCGACTAGAAAGCATCTGGTTTATATTAAATGGAAGGTGACCCGCGCCTCTTGAGGCTGCGCGCATTCAATATGAGTACATTATATTACGGCACGTAGCTACAACAGTGTCTGTAGCTCAAAATAAATCGTACAAAAACGTAAAAATTACGTGCAGTAGGCGAAAAATTTATATGGCGCTAGAAGAAGGATCAAGGGAAACTTATTTTTCAAAACACGCATTTATATATATATATATATATATATATATATATATCTGGAAATGTGAACGGCAAACCTTTAACCAGCTGGCACAAAAAATTGGTCAAGAAACGACGGGGTAGTCGAAGATATTTATATACATATATTTATAATATCGATATATGTATACGTGTCAGGTATAGTCATTGTAATAGCCTAATATTCTTTTAGCTAATGATTTTTGGAGCTCTTAATTGGCAAGCGATATTTTTAGCGTTCGGTCGATTGTTTACTGTAGGGAAACAAACAACTGGATATTAATAAGACAATCAAAAGGCTGACAGCCACAAATTTGGATGACCTTGTTTACAAAGGATACATAGACTTATAGTTCAGTGACGAGATAAACAGGTTAGTTCCATAATGGTAGTTGTCGATTAAATTTCAACACAGCCCGTAATCGGAGTATTGTATAAATCCGCTTATCATGTTTCACATGTTTATGCTGTCAAATTTGACAGGCGTAATCTAATAAATATAGTATAAAGGTCATATTTTAAACGAAAATGAAAAGAAGTGATTGCGGAATAGCTAAAGAATTACGAATAGGACTCGAACCTAGGTTTTTATATTCTTTCCTTAATGGCACACACGTAAACGTAACTCATGTTGATTTGTGTGAAGAAAAACAGATTTTTGAAGCCAAACGATCGAAAAGATGATATAGGAACATTCAATTAGAAGGTTTTGATTGGTATACTGCGTACACGCAGGGTAGACAATCTTAAATATATCGCTGATAGTGGCCACGCCTTGCAGGACACTGCATAATTTGCAGGTACACAATAGAAAAAGTTTATTTATACAACTTACAAATTTGCCCACGTTTGCGTATTAGAGGATTCCTTCTTGCATTGATCATGATGGAATCCGTATTATATTGGCCTGCAAAAGGATTTTCTTTTGCTATGAGTTCGCAAGCAGACTCGTCTGTTAGAGTTTCGTAAACAAAGAAAATATATCCCTTATCGCTGTACTTTCTGTAAATATTCCAGAAACTTTTTGAAATTGGTAGCCGATTCTAACTCTATACATATAGTATAGCGTGTGTTCCCCGCTAACTGCAATTCTAGTGTATTTAAGTATCTTCATGGCAAATCCACAATAGCATGTAAAAAACGACTTTGTATAGTATTTAAGTTATTAGTGCGCGTGAAGTTGTTTAAAGGTTTTTAATTTGTGGCTTACTTATGGCTTCAATTTGCTGCATATCAGATCATCCCAAGTCTGAACGGTGATATTATTACTACTATGGGGATCATCCAAGAAGGGCTTCACGATATAGCTTCAATGCCCCGAGCAGAGTCAGTTTGAAGTTACTCACCAAATAGAACCTTTCCAACAGGAATAAATGCATTGCGCCACTCTGTGGGGCCTTCCGTAATCTCCAAGGTAGACTGTTGCCATGCCATTCTTCGTATTAAGATGCCTCGCATGTTTGCTAGATTATAGGTTCCCAGGTACTTCTCGATGCGTGCAAAGTTTAGGTTTCGGGTCTTTGGTTGAGTCTTGACTTAGAATACTTCATACCTTTTGGCTCTGGAATCTTTTAATCTTCATTATTCCGCAAACCGTGAGACGCTTAATTTCCTAACTATACATTTTCATACGGTATTTAAGCACTGCTAGAAAGCGTTTGCAGATTTGTGTTGCTGAAGTATGTTCGCATTACTGATTTCTCTAAGCATTTTCAGATAATATCTCTTACTTGATACGGTTGTTTTGACACCGCACAGTAAAGGAGTACAAATACCATTACAGGGTATTAACGTTTACCGCTGTCGTATCGAAGCAACATATAGATATAAATATCCTTACCTTGAATTTTCACCGTCCACAAAAAACTGTCCACGAACAACGGGAAGAGTAGGGGCTACAAAAAGTGGCTTTGATTATTTTTGACGTTAGTCGAATCGTCGTTACTTACGTCTTTCCGTTGCTTAATTCTATCAAGTTGTAGTTCAAAAGAGTATAGTTATGGGCCCTCGAAAATTTCACACTTCGAAATTATACAGTCAGAGCACTCGTCTGCTTCGCTTTGCTGGACTTTCATTATGGCATCAAAAACGGTGCAAACTCTACGATGAATTTAGCTAAATTTTGTAGTGCCTGTTCACATAGACTTCTTGATCTAGATTAGAATCTGTAGTTGCTTTTTACTAATAACCGTAGTCCTGCCGTTTTGCGTTTCTGTTTGGCGTACAAAAAGATCCAAGGCTATCGATACAATTGGGCCCAGATCGTCATATGCCTTGTTTGCGTTCTCAATAGAATAGAGAAACAGTTATAGATGGTTACAGAACGCCTTTCTTTTTATGTTCTACTTCTTCGATTGGCTCGATACGTATGGTGGTAAAGTAATATGTACCTCTGGGCGCCGTTTAGTTTAACATTCACCTCGTTTTCCACCAAAATCAACGAGACGTAAGTGGATGATGCACAGTTGATTCCAAAGATTTGATGTCCCGACAATGCTCATATGGTACTCATTACTAGAGGGTGATGCTGTCTCCACTATCATCGATAGAAACTTCGTTATGACCGTTCCTCTTCCCGGTATTTCCTGTATGTTTGGGTCGACAGAAAAGGCAAGTTCTCTGCGGCAGATCCGCGCGGAAGTAATCATCAATGGCTTATGAAATGGTGGAAAATAATTTTTTACCTATTGCAAAATTCTATTCTATGGACTATAGTGTCCGCATCTAACGGATTTCCGGACAATCGTGGTATCTAAGTCATACCACCATTCTCTCTGTGCAAGTGCAAATTGCCCTCGTAAGGCGTACTTCACGTGTGCGAACTTTAATGGTTTACTGCAGTGCTTAAAGATGTCGAATTTAGTTCATTCGTGTTTGAAAAGGTACGCTGTGTCATACTGTCGTATGGACTCAACACTTAAAAACTTTAAGCTCGTTGTGCCTTGTTGAAAATACTATCTAGCGATTGTAGTGCATCGGACAATGGTATCTAAGGGACATTGCACCACTTTCTGTACAGATACGCATAAACCATAGCAAATGAAAACTTGCGGTCTCTTCCTATGGTGTGATGGAACCCTTATTCTGCACAATGTGTTGGTATGTGTCAGTACATTTTGTTTAGTCCTTTCCTGACTTCATTAGCTATAGCTCCCCTATCAGAAAACTTAGGATCGGCTTTCGCCATAATTCTCTCTCATGCGCTAGTAAAATCCTAATAAGAAGCAGGCTAAATTTACGCCTAGGATCTTCCACAATTTCCAGTCTGCCGGCGAACGAGAGTTTGCTAGACATAATCGACCCCTTCGAGAAAGGAAAGGTCATCAGCTTAAGACAACGTTATGCACAGAATGGCAGGTTATTCACTAGCAAAGGGATCCGATTATAACCTTATGAAACGCCAGTTGATCAGACGAACTGCCCCAGCTGGGCCGCCCCATCATCCCCGCCCACCGAATTTTCCCCATAGTATAAACATGATTAGAAGCAGTATATCCTGTGAAACTGCCGATGCAAACTTTTCTCTTTGGAGGCTATATCAAATGCCGATTTAAAAATTCACGAATAGAGCAAAATGCGCGTGCTTTAATCTATAATAGAAACGCATGCTGAATAATGAACATGTTTACCGAAGGAACATGTCAGAGGCCCTTCCTAAGTACTCATGACGGATCAGGCCTGGTCCAACTGCCTTGTTTTACTAGAATTATTCCAGAGATCGTAGTGTAAGATCGAGTGTCGATCCTCAGCCCCTTATGCAGCAGACATGTTCGTTTACTCCATGCACCAGCGTACAAAGGCACAATCTATGAGATGGTGTTTTGAAATTTTCTGCTAGCTGTGCAGAGTTAGTAGGGAACGTGGTCGCTCAGTTATTGGAACAAAAACGTTGAAGCTGTGGAAAGGTAAGCATTTTTTAGCAAATGTTGTCCATCTATAAACGTCGACACCCAATCGTGATATTTTGCTAATGGTCAGTGTTTTCTTAGGTGTAGTCCGCTTGTGCCGTAGTGTACGGAATACACTTTCAGGCTTGCGGGTTATTAATGAGGTTGCGGGGGACATGACCCGTACATTTTCGTGTCTCATAATACGAAAAATACTTAGTAAATTGCGTTTACTAATGAAACAAATGAGGAACAATGTGGAGAGCATCGTGACTGAAGTAAATTGAAATTTACGCTGTGATGCTTGCTGACGTCCTACTGAGTGATTTGTTTCCCTGATAAACAGAAAAGATACAAAGTGGTTTTAACCGTAATCATTACTAGCAACTTCATATTAGCAAAACTAATTAGGCTATTTAAGCTTAATAGTGTATTAGCGATGAAATTCAATAAAGGTACACGTAGGTTTAAGTTTGTCTCGTATTTATATATATATATATATATATACATATATATATAGATGACAAAAAATCCGCATACATTTTAAAAGTTCTCTTTCTGTCGCAGATGTTCAAAACAAATGCCGTTATAATCAATACATCACGGTCAGCTATTAATTTGCGAACTTTAACCAACATTTTATATTGCGTTGAGGCGATGTCCGGCTCAGCTAAAACCTTTGAATCTTCGGATGCCGTCGACCTTCTGGTGTATATTTCCGTTTCATATTCATGCATCTGTTAGCACTGTAAAATCAATTTTCTCTCTTGATTCGAGAAAAAAATTACTCTCGATTCACTCATGGTTTTTAAATAATTACCTCACGCTACATAATGACGCTACCTGTCTTCCGTGCTACGTCTCTGTGTCTCAACTGCTCACAACAGCCGCTGCTGTTACAGGTTGTCACAATGAAGCCTTCAGCGATTGCCTGTGGAGCACTGGTTCTTTTTTCCAATATAATCAATGTGCATTTAAAATTCATTATAACAAAGAAGCCAAATTAATTGACGCGGATGTATAAGTCTTCATTTCTACGAAAACGTTCTCTCTTTCTAATCGGCGCTCGTTCGATTTTGTCTGCACAAATTTCGCCGACTCTTCACAGATTTGTTTTTCTACCCTAAGAATGTAGACACCTGATTTTTACCGAGTAGGGCCAACCATTAATTCAACCTGATCTTTATGCTTTAACGCCGGCAATCGCGCCAGGGGCTCCTTGCCAGCATATAGGCACCATCAAAAGTACCATTCGAAGGAAAATATAGTTCACAGAAAAACCTATTGAGCATAACAAAGGAAAGGAACATGAAAAAAAAGTATATGCACTGCAATTAATTATTGTTATTGTATTGTATTTGAAAAAACTCGTCTCATTTAAATACATTATACGTCATGCACGGAGCCAGAAGCAACTCGTGGCTATAGTGAAATTGTGTTATGGCATCCCTAACACAGTATCCTTTAAACCGAAACATAGCATGCTTCACTGACTTATTATTATACTCTCATCCAGTAGTTCTACAGGATCCGATCTTCAGGACGGTGCATGAGGGTCTCCATCCATACGATGTGGATTTGAGCTACGATTTTCAAGGCGTCATCAGTATCATCATAGCTCATTACAAAGCTATATCGTGGTAGAGCTTCTCTACATTAAATTGAAGCCAATCATAGAAGGATGTTTATTAAACCTGTTTAAGGCACAGCCGTGTTTAACATGTGAGACTATTGTTGTTGTAAGGTTTTTATCCTTAAACAGGGGATTGGTTACGAACAAAAAGAACACTATAGCAACAATTAGATGAATTTACGTGCTAACTATTATTGCTAACGAATTGTTTTCGATTTCTTAATATAGAAAATATGATCCTTACTTGGCTGCTAGTCGTTTTCTAGGTAGGCGCTTTTGGTCAATTGTCGACTTTGACGGATATAACACCTCAGTTTAAGTGAAGCGCGTCTCGATTCGAAGAACATATGTTATTTCAAGGTTCCTGAATCTCTAAAACTTTAATTCATCCGTTTCGCATATAAACGTCACTCTTCAAGCTACCATATCGATGCTGCGTCAATCCACTAAAGTCCCATCTGAATTTAGATATGTACATATTACTAGTAATGTGTAATATTTATGGTACCTTATTATTACTGCCTGTTACTTTGGATCCTTATGCGCTTGATACGTTCTACATGTAGGCTTTGTCTGAAAAGTACGTCTCAGCCGGTAAATTACTCCGGAAAAACGTTTCTCTCATTGTGGCAATCCGTCAACATCATACGCGGTCAATAACACGATGTTGGATTCCGCTTTTCGTCGGCTGCTGTAAATATGGAAACCGAGTAATAGTTCCTTTTTAAAAACGATGCCTAGTATGATGTAACATTTATTTAATTGCCCCTGTCGTGTAGTATGTATACTAATAAATATATATCGTTACGTAAGTATGTGTGTAGATTTACCGTAGCTAAAGGGTGTGCGGGTAACGATGAGACTCACTAGCGATTGTCCATCAATAGGGAATGAAGATGCTTGTCTGTGAATGCGTTCATATTGTAAGAAGTTTTTCATTGTTAATAACAAACATGGTAATCGCTCTCTTTGTTACCCTCAGTCGACGTTTAGGGATAGTTATTGTAATTCGGGTGAGATGTGCTCAGTTATGTTCGAACTTCTTTTTTTAAACACAATAGCTATTGATAAACTTTCCTGGTATTTACGCTAGCCGTTTTGTAGATATCTAGCGGCGAAGGACTGCGGAACAAAGAGAACCTGGTAAGGAATTTAGTCGGACGGTATGTCAATGGTGCTGTGGAAACGGGTAGACTGAGGGCTACGAAATAATGATAAGTTCAAATTTGGGCGTAGACACATTTTGTTTCGCGGTAGTAGCTGACAGTTCGAAATAATGCTTAATGTCGAAACTTCTGTATACATTAGGCAAAAGGCTGAAGCTTTTAGCGCCAGTGCCCCTTTGTTATGGAAGTCAACAAGTGTGCACGATATAATACAATTTCACTTTCAATTTGTAATTTCAGTATTTGGGCAAAACTCTTATCATTCGCAAAGGCTACCAGTACCATTAAATTATAACTTAGATCGATAGGATTATCTGAGACTTATTCGATAATATAACGTTACGTATATATATATATAATGTGAAAAAGTAGACTTCATGCCAGATTTGTGTAAAAAGGAGATGTTTGAAAATTATGGCGATCTGGTCTTCAAGGACGCGTGAGGAAGGCCAGGTTCGAATCCGTACGTATACACATTTCACTCAGTGCTGGAGTAGGCCAGCCATCCGAGGCAATACCTAATCGTTTAAATTCTGCATGTAAAGCTACACAAAAAAATTAGTCAAAGATCATGTTTTATTGACCAGGTAGGTAAATCCTTATTTTGCGGAGTTCTCGTCAGTTTTATCAATAATACTTTTTCATCACAAAGTAAAATATATTTCTATAAGTAATAATAACAACAATCATACTTCGTCTACACCTATAAATGTTTATCTTGTATAATTAGCTTGACATTAGGTAGTCGACTTCAGAGATCTTTGTGATCTAGGTGGTAATCAGCTAGGTGGTAACCAGCATATAGAGATTTAGGTGTCGCTTTTGACGCCGATCTTAACTGCACGTTCATTTAGTTAAACATTACGAAGCGGCGTTATGATTATCCAATCTTACGCGACGAACTTTTACCTCATGAAACCTTAACTTTTACTTGGCTTTCTATCAGACCCCAGTTGGTCCTAAATTGACATTGGTTTTTCCCTTCATAACAACACGGGTACCTTACAAAGTGCTCAGGGCCATTTAGCAAACTAGATAGCACCGAAATGCGGTGTCCTCCGTAAATCTATTAGCCTGCAAAAAATTGCAAAGTAAACAAGTTCCGGATGTTCAAACTATACAAGGACAACTCTTTTAGTTTTCGAAATTAAAGAAAAATCATTTTCTTAGTGGTATCTGGCCATCAGTTCTCCAGAAGTAGCCACTCTTACCACTGTTACCAATTGGTTTTTATCACGCGATTAGGCCATGAAAACCGCTTTATGTCTTTATATTGTAGCCATTTTTCAAACCTCTTCGAACAAAGGGAACTTTCCATTGCATTAATACTGTATTGTAAACTAACGGTAAGCTTAACTATCTTCGCAGAGAATTTCTTTCGCAGAAGGTATTGAACTCAGGCTCCCATGCATATTTTTAAATTAAAAAATTCACACATTCATGCTTTGTATAAAGCGTTTGACACGAGCAGCCAAATCATGAAACATCTACAACCTACTGAATGAATATTTCGAATTTCGCGCCTAAACTGCAACTCAAATCACAACTGATCCGATAATCTTATTTTGCTTGTCCTAAACAAACGGCTGATGTATTAGAATCTAATAATAATAGTAATAATAATCCATGCGATGTAGATTATAACCTGCAATTAAATTGACAATACAATACAGTGAAACGGCTACAGATAAACTGATGCAATGAACTAGAAAAACCAACCTAAGATGCTTTATCTGCTCCCATCGCTATAGTGGCTGAGGTAGAGGGTTTGAAAATTAAAAATATAAATAAACGTTTCCAAACTCATTGTTTCCGCTAATCACCTGATATTACCATAAGTTTATATATTATTCTATTCTGAATATTATATATATATATATATATATATATATATATATATATATATATATATTCAGAAGCAGAATCATACAGCCATTCGAGTTACGTGTACACCTGTTCATGTTAGCGCACAGACTTAAGCGTCTGCATTAGCAACATGATTTTTACTTGTATACATTTTTAACGTATGACTCCCTTGTGGGAAGACGCAGTAGAAAATTCGAAATACTTCCTTGCCTCTCCAATTGGCCTTATAAGCAGGGCGAGCGCGTTCTCCGAAACGGCTCGACGGAGATACAGACAGCTGTTGGTCGAAACGATTCTCTTGGTACGCTGGTATTATTGTAAAAGATAGTCTGTGTGAGGTAAATCTTGTTGTGCCGTAAAATGTTTTTTAACTGGTTATTCAATCAGCAATCATGCTGCTATAGATATTGAATACTGACGTGAAATTAGCACGGAACTATGTCAGGTAGGAAATGCTTAATTCAAGCAAATGACGAAAAGTGTAGAAAACAAAAGACAAACTAGTCTATAATTTTTTTTAATTCTGTGTGGATCATGTTCATTTCATAGTTGAGCAACACAGAAACAATTCAACTGCGCAAATGAATCAGATCTAAGAATTTTTTAACTAATTATACTATTTGTGATTCGCTTTTTATTTACTTAATATATCAGTATATGAAAGCGCAGTGTAAGCCTCTTCTTTTTAGGATTGTTATTAGATGCCTCGACCATGACGGGGTTGAGAGTGGACCGTAATTATAAATAAAACAGTGGACTAGTCCTTTCGAACTTATTAAACATTTTATTCATATTGAAATCATTTGTCTGCTATATGACTCAGCGTATTTCTTCATCGCGTCGACTCATATTGATCTTTGTAATGCGGAGCTCGTTTGAATTGTGCGGATCGTACTTCTAGTGGAACTCGCTCCAAAAGAATACACGCTGATTACGATTTAATGGCATTTGAGTAGGAAATTGTGAAATGTGCAATTACGCTGCTGGGTATGTACAGGGTGCTCAAAATTGTACGTAATCCTGCGGAAAATTAACGCTCAACCTTTTCAAAGGAATTCCGCGGCGCAATTAGTCTCTGTTCTTTGTTTTCGTCACTGTGTATTTAAATAATGACATTTATTTTAAGATAGGAGTAGCAGTTTGGAAATGTCGACGACTTTAAACTTTAAATACTTTTGATACATTCTAAGATACTTTATCAGCATGCTTTGTCTTCCCTTGTTAACTAAAAATAAACTCATATGCCTACGTGTGAATGAGAATAAATTGCTTAAAGTTGCCTTTAAATTGTAACCATACATAGGGTAATTTCTTATACGGATGTGTAACATTCTAATTCAATGTATATATATACATATATATATTCTGGTAGCTTGGATAAAGCTTGATTGCACCCAAACAAAATAGTTCGAAACACTTTATAGAGTTGAACATAGTGATTATGTGATACCAATGACGTAACATAATTCAAGATAAAGAGATTAAACAATTTTAACTTTTGCCGACCTGACTCGGTTTTTTAGATAAAGGGTAAAGAAGATAGCGATATCCCTAACTATCAGCCTTTGAAAAAAAGAAAGAGCTGGAAGTAAAACACTAGTAGTTACCTAGTTTAATATGAAGCCCTTTTTCACCGTTAGGCAATTAACGTTTCTCTGGGTTAGTGAAGCATTTATGAAGGCCATCCCGAGATAATCCAGTGTGCAGATTTCATACTCTTGTTTCGAATCGCTTGTACTTCAGAGCATGCCGCATATATTCAAACAGTTGTAGTCAGGTTGGGCATTGTCTGGATTAAATGAAGCATGGAAAAACGTTTCTCTAAAATATGTCATGATTTCGTGGGCCAACAGAATCTCGTGAAGTCAAATGTTTTCATACGATGAAATCATCTGGGCTGCTTTAGCCCGTTCCAGGACCTTCATCTTTTGAGTTTGTTGCTCGTTTTTACGAACTGAGTGAAGCTACAGCCTGAATTCAGATTCGACTAACTCTTTATAGCAACTGTCCGTGTTTAAGCTTATCCGGGGTCGAACTCTTTTGCACTAACGTTTGTTGTGAAGATCTTTTTGTCGTTTCCGATCATGTTCAAAAATGACCTTTCGTCATATTGTGCAAACAATGATAGTGATATGATTGAGTGACTCGTGAGGGCACTTAATTTATGTGAGGCCCATTTTGCTGCCGTTAATATATTGGGCAAGGCCATGCAGACGATTTGTTGTGACAGTAAATACCGCTAACTGTATGTCTCTTTAGAGAATTCCTGATATGACTGCGCTGCAGGTTCACACGATTAAGTCTACGATCCATTGTTATCAGCTTTTTGACGGTCATCCGAAGATTCATAGTTTGTGGTTCAAGTGAGAGCCACAAGCCTTCAGCCTCAAAACGCTGAGAAACATTTTGACAAATACTGCATAGCAGTCTCTAACATAATCCAACAATAAACTGCTATTGTCTCAACCGCACTTTTCCTGATGGGAAAATGGTAAAGAAGGCGGTATAATATCTGTAGTTATCAGCACACGGTTTGATCATACAGAAATCTGCTATGAACAAACTTCTGCGGCGACAAAAGCAGCATAACTAAAAGAGGGAGTTTGATAAGCAAAAATCTCCATAAGACGCACATGTAGAAACGCAATTCAATATATGAATAGCAAAATGCCATGAGCTAATAAACAAACAGAACTTTGTCTGGCCAACTATCCGACCTCTTTTTTTCTTAGAGCTACATGTCCATATATATAAAGCGTGCGATGCGTGTTACGGTAAAATTTGGTAAATAGCTTTGTGAACTTGAACAATTTCTTCTTACCTATCCACAGTTTCCGTGGTTTAAAACTTAACCTTCCAAGCAACGTATGTAATAATTCCAGTGAATGCTATCCTGTATTAATGCTAGCAGTCCTATACGTTGATCGCTATTTCTACTAGTATAGTACATCTTAGTGTAGTGAAGTTTCAGTTTCACAGATAATTTCAACATTTCACCATGAGTCTCTGTGAACACGGAGTCCCGCCTCACCCTTCATCCGTTATGGGCGATTTACTTTTAAAAAAACTAGTCAAACGAGACACCACACAATTGGTTGCTTTCCGCCGCTCTAATTAAAAGGTAACAGAGCATTTATTAGATGGAAGGCCTTAGCAGAATATACCCATATTTAAAGAACGTTTTTTGTTACCAGCCGATGTCATGAGTTTCAGGCACTCGACAGATGGAAGGTGGTATCATAGCAAATCAATACCGAAGTCCGCAAATTATACCGCCAATCATCAATATAGTTGTATCGCTCCGGTCAAGCTGGGAAGTATCCAAGCTATCTGTTCATCTTTGACCAAAGCCCTTACGCATTGACACACGCTTGTGGTACTGGGTTTAAGATCAATTCGACAGAAGCATACGCAAGTGGGTTAGCTGATACATTTCTGTATATTTTTCTGAAAATATTTCAGTTGCGTAATCCAGCTGTTTTCCGCATCCGAAAGATTTTCCCGATTTTATTATTCTCAATTTATTTATATTTATTATTATAACTATAGTTTTATTGCCAATTAGCAGACTTAATATACGAGGGGTGGTACTCGTGCTATACACATTCTATGCTAATACTTAAAAAATTTGCAAATGTTTTCTAAAGGAACCAGACCCTCTGTTCCGATATCAGATAAACGACGTTAAAGCCCTTGCCGTCGAGTAAGAATCTGCCTCGCTAATCAGCAATGCAGGGAAACTAGTCAAACATGTGTTGTGATCCGTCGTTCGAGACTTCATCGTAAATACACTGTGTTACCATCTGAAAAAAAACCATTTTAAAAAACTACGACTATAAATAAGCGACGCGCAACTTGTCCTTCGCCATTACTAATCTAATTATTATTTCTTTTTACAATGATTATTAGCTGCAGTGGAGAGGCCTAGTAGCTCCTCTCTTTAAAAAAGAGTTATTCAACAACGTTAAAATCATTGGAGAAGATTTTTGATTTGGGCTAGAAACTCGGATTTTTCAAGAAATGATTTTTTCGCATCTGTTCGGCCGCGGAAATCCACAAAATACAATTAATATCTAACTCTCGCTTTGTACACTAATTTATAAATATATATGTATACAATCGGATTATATTTTAATATAATTACGTTTTTTTCACATAGAATTATCTAAAAGTGACTCCTAAATTACTTTTTGAGTGTGTTCTATCTATGCGCACAGTTTTTGCTGTCAAGGCATGGCAAGGCAAGGCAAGCCACCGAGCGCGCCATCTAAACTAAAATTAGGATCACTATCGTATCGAGTTTTTAAACGGACGTCCTTCGTCGCAGAAATGCAGTTTCTACGATATAGATTATCTGTACCGTGTAAAGCTTAAGAACTACTGAGAGCTGCATGAACATACCTGAGAAGTAGATGTTGATTTTAAGCTTTTAGCTACGATTTCTGAACCATGAAATCTGGAATCTTCATTTTTATTTTCTTCGCTTAACTTGTAAGTTTCGCCTAAAGTCAGAAAAAATACATATTGGTTTAGCCCAGGTTCGGTTGGACCTAGCTCGGTCGAAACAGATGCTTCGATCCGTTAGTTGCAGCTGGGTAATCTGATCTACTGGCGTCAAAATTTCAGGCTGCCGCTATGGAATTATCGAAAGTTGTAGGATTTCTTAGACGGTTTGCTCCAATTGAACTCGCCGAAACTTGGGACAACGTTGGATTACTGCTGGAACCGACAGTATGTCGTGTTCAAAAGGTGCGAACCGTTTAGAACTGACACGGAAGTAAATGACATGAGACAGATCAGGAAACAGTATCAGATTCGACTTTGTGTCGGCCTGTACGCGGGACAAAATGAGTGCCTTCTTCTTCTTCGACTGAAACATTTACCACTGTTACAATCTAAATTAAGTATCAGCTTATTTCCAAATTTCTGCTTTAAACTAATTATTGCCACAATCCATTCTAACAGTGTCATACATTTTTATGTTGTTTACCTATCACAGCACAGTTATTCTATCGTTTCGTTTTCGTCGAAAATAGAACTTGTCGAGACTCTTTAGATCTCCTGCATCTGGCCGTATTGCCAATTTAACGAGCCTATTGAATAAATCCAATGTAAAATTTTTTGCTTCATGTCATTTCTTGGGAATTTTAAGTTTAGAAAATCAGCTAAAAGTTAAAAGTGCTTTGACTAAGTTTCATAAACAGTATCTCTTAAAATTTCGATATTATATATTACCATTCGCAGGTACTTCTCACGAATGATCTCACCGAATCTGTCGTTGATGAGGCTGTTAATTCGAAAGCAAACCTAATCGTGTCCTATCATCCTCTAATTTTCTTCCCAGTGAAGAGGATTTGCCAAGATACATGGAAATCTCGAATTATAGTCCGTATGTTGTTTACTATAGTATATTATGGTGAAACAATAGTTTAGCGTTCTAGATTTGCTGACTCGATGCGTGCGCTTTTTGAGACAGTCTTGTCACCTAAAAAATATAAATCAATATCTGCGTGTTTTAGGCGAAAACTATTATCGAATTGGCCTAATGTAATTGTAATAGCGTCCACTGTTTTTAAAAGATTCCACTTTGAATTCGATTCCATGAAATATGCACACGTAAATATATAGGGAGTTGATCGTTATGTACACGTTCGATTATCTGTAGCTTCAAAGGCGTCTGGCAAAGGCGTCTGGCGTGCAAGCTTTTAGTACGATCGCTCATCATGGCTTTTAGCGGCTCTCACGTAATACACTTTCGGTGGCTCCCAACAGCCGTTCTACAGGCCGAGCATTGTCTAAAACCATTACGCGGTTCTATATATTCTATGTGTGTATATTATAGGTTGCCTCGAAAACCGTATCGCGGTGTACTCGCCACATACTTCGTGGGACCACGTCCACGGAGGCGTAAACGATTGGTTAGCGAAGGCTTTTAACCAACATCCTCTCAAGGTTGATCCCCTAAGAAACCAACAATATTGTCACCCCGCTAAGATCGATACTATTGTTTGCGATATAGTTTTTTCAGTTAGACGTTTAGATAATTATAGTTGATAAGATCACGTCTTTGTAGTAACTATGAATTGAGAACATGTAGGCGCGAAACATTGTCTTTTGTGGTGCCAGATTTGTGCAGCCAGATCTAGTGGTCGTTGCCTGCGAATTAAGCTTAGCCGAGACCTAAAATTACAGATAGACATTATTCTAGTAATAACTTAATAAACCCTTAGTTTGAATTGAGATGTTGAACAGCATTAACTGCCCTAAATAACTTACAGATCGATGATATTCAGCAATTGAAAGCGTTGCCACAGGATCTGCCGGAAGGATTCCCCGGTGCTGGCATAGGGCGAAAATTAACGCTGGAGAAACCAGTGTCATTTGAGGTGGGCCGTATAATATCATTATCTATTATTTCTCCGTTGTTTAGAACTGTTGCATTAACCCTTATACTTTTTGTTAGCAAACAAAAACTCTATTTCGCATTAACGGGAATATAAAACATACGCAACAGATAAAAATAAGCTAAAAAAGACAAACTTCTATCAGAAAAAATTGACGAAGCTATGTGCGTTTTCGACATACTAGATTAAACCTAGTTTGACAAGTTTATAGATTGCTAAAGGCTTACCTATTAGTTCCGTTATTGCTTCATGCCAATAGGATGCACTCCGTATGGTAAAACAACACGTCAGACTCGAACGCGTTCGGGTGGCTCGACCGCTCCAAGTTAAGCAGATCCAACATATAGGGCTCTGCGCAGGCTCCGGCGTATCTTTGATGCGACTCGTGCCACATGGAACATTCGACCTGATACTCACTGGAGAGATGTCACACCATGATACACTTGATTTCGTACAAAATGGTCTGTTACTATGGGTACGACAGTGTGCATTTTTCAACTAATAGAGTATGCAACAGTAGATAAATGCGTTGAAGTAACTCTAGTTAAGAAGTTAAAGTCTTTCATTTAGAAACGAAAGTTCATTGTGGTATATCTAATTTGAGAACTACAGTCTTAAGCGTGACAAGTTTGTTCGTTCCCTTTGTCACATTCACTGTTGTGAATAGGGCTCATATTGTTTCTCTACTGACGTTACGCTTCGCTAATCCCGGCAGCGGGAGCCGGCGCTAGACGGTCTCACACACAGAGAAGCGAATCAGAGCATTCGTAGAAAAGTTCTACGAAAAGTTTACTTGCTTCACAACAGCGAGAAAAGTCATTTAATTTTTAAAAGCGAATTTACCGCACTTCGTAGTGGTGTTAGCCATCTTGAAAATGCTTAGCGGCGCTACCGGACGTCAAACTCATAAGAGTTTATTAACATTGTTACCCTGTTCCGATCTAGAGCTAAAGTATTTACGCAAATAGGCTATGTAGTTCAATAATAACGTCGTGCGAAGGCCGTAGCTTTTATTTATCATGTCAGGTTGATACTGACATATGGCATTTAATAAAATTGATGACGTACGAACAAAGCCCAATATCTGTGCTTGAAATGTTGAGTTCTTTTAAAGTAAATATTCCACTTCTCACAGTCACATTTATATTTTCTTTTTTCAACGTATTTCAAAGGTTCATCTTTGCTTTGTTACATCTTTCATTTTAGGAAGTTACGTGATACTTTGCGAACATTCCAACACAGAAAGAGGATTCCTTCGGGAATTTAAGGTAAGTCTTGCCAAGAATAGATTGATATATATATATCAATGTAACAACAGAAGCAGTACTGATTAAAATGCATGAAAAAAACAGTAATATTTGTTAAAACCTCCAGGTCTTATTTTGTTTTTTTCGGGTAATGGGGCCACTGCGGGTGATAAATGCAAAACCTTGGTGGTACAAAATGTTCTTTTCTATTTTTTCCCCTTTATGTTAACCTCTGTGATGTCCATTAAGGTAATCGCTGCAAGTTAAATAGTTAACCCCCTTAAGCGCAAATACTGCAAAGATTTATGAAGCCCTGTTTATATTTTGTAAAAAATATTGTAAAAAACTTAAACAATTTTTAGAGTTTCTTCAGATGTAACAGTTTACGTCGCTGTAAGTTGATTGTATTTTTGCCCGGCATTGTCTGTTGCGATTTTTCAGGGTGTCCTCGAGGAAGAGCTTCATTTAGAAGTCGAAGTATCGACAGTTGATCGTGACCCGTTGAACGTTGAGTGATAACAAACAATGGGCGGGCACTTGTGCCGGGTTGATCAGTACTGTTACAGAGAGAGCGACCCGCTGTATAAAACGAATACATCGTTGAAAATAAAAGTGTTTGTTTAGTTTGCTTTTTTCACTCCAGTAAGAACATATATGAGTTAATGTCTTCATAGTTCAAATCAGAATAAATGACGGTACGTCACCTAATTCGTTCAGAAAATATACTCCACGGAAGAATTTACCAGCCTTGGAAACTGAAATAATTGTTGGTATATTTATACGGTGAGGATGAAGCAGCAATGAAGTAGTTCTTTCACGGGACGCGTTTTAGAAGTCTGGGCAGTGTGGTAGGTTTGATAGTGGGCGGCACGGTCTGAGTGGTAGGTCTTTATCATAAGATAAGCTGATACGAATTTTTTCGAGTGCATCGCCGTAGCATCCCTGAATATACGGCTATAGTTGATCAAACTTCGGTATTGAAATACAATGTAGCGATGAAAGGGTAGATTCCTTGAACGAAATCTAAATAAACACTTCTTTTTTGTTGAGTATGATAACCCGTTAGGATTTCGAAACCGGGCGGTGATTGCGAAAGGCGATCGGGTGTTCTAATGCTTTTTCTAAATGTTATCTAATCAGGTACAAGCAAACGTTAATCAGAAAGATTGTTCATAATAATAACAACTTTTTCAGCTTTTAACGTAGTCTACAATGACCAAGCGGACCCACCAAGGCTGTAAGCACACGGAATAGCACCGAAATACCCAAAGAACATTTTCTTATACTGACAGCATACGAAAGCTAAAATGACTTAATAGGAACAAGAAGTATTTAAAAAAAAATCCATATTTTTGTAATATGTTAAACTCGAATTCGTCATAATACAGTCACGAGAAAATTAGCGACGGCTGTTAAATATCCGCAGATACAATTTGCATGTGAGTCTAAAATGTGACGTAATGATCTTCAATCTTAATTTCTCCTTCGCAATATATTACACACCAAATGTTCAACCAATTAGATCAGTAATAATGCTTTTTTACGATGAAAGGCAGTGTAGACTGTGGTAGAGGGAAAACTATGCTTATCTACGTAGTACCTTTAAGGGCTTTAGCAAACATACCACGTGCTGTTGCAAATACAGATACTAAGCAACTTACATTTATTATAAATTAATTATTTATCGCAAGGACTGCGACGGCGAAGCCTTCAACTGCGAAGGCTTGACGGTCGTTGGATTCGGTCGCAAAGTAGTACGCTAGGGGCATAGTGGCTATTGAACATTACGCTTGGATAAGTGCAAGGATAGTAATTATAGTATACATCAAGCAAGTCAACAAATTAAATCACTTTCATATATACGGAAGTACCTAAGAGCAGAACAACGATAGGTCGAACGTTGCATGTAACGTCCGATGGAAAGGTCATAAGGATATGAACAGAAGCAAATAATAGAAATTGCTGTCCTGGTTTCCAACGGGGCAACTGCTTCCGCGTCGCGCAATCCTAAATTCTATTTAAGACTAGTAACGTCAGCTGCAACGATGGACGCGAGATAACAGCGGCCTATCAAACCTTACACTGCTCAGCATAACATATAAGTAAAGAAATCAAAAAGATTGAAACATTTTGAGAATGGCACTCCACAGATACTCCGTACAAAATAATACTTCGACGGCAGATTTCGCACCATGGCTAGCAAAGCCGTATATACGTATTGTCTTCACTCAGAACACAAAAACCGAACAGATGCGAAAGAAGAAGAAGAAGTGATTATTGTGCCCGTAAAAAAAACCAAACCGGAACTATTTAGCTAAAGCAGATCCGTGATCAAAAGGGTGAGGAATCCTCTATTAGATTAATCCTATTCTTTCTGCTATAAATTGTGTGAAGATCGCTTGCGCTACTAAATATCATTGTTATTCCAAAAGATAGACCATTTCCCATCCTCCTTGCAGGTAACTTTATATCGTTCTCTGAACATTTTGCACAAACTATGCCACTTATATCTAACGATAAGTTAGGCAAACGAAACATTAACGAATTACTGCCAAACTTTGACGCTAGGCCATTTGAAATCCTAGTGATTTTCAAGATAGATACGATTGCGAATTGTACTTAAATCGCTGCCTCCCGTGTCCTACAGAAAGTAATTCTGTGTTATGCGATATTTTGTAGGCAAAATGCCCATGCCATTTCAAGGACAGAGGAAGGTTATTATTTTTAGGTGATTCTAACAAGACAACCTTATCGATAAAACATGGCCAATACAAACTCACATATTTTGATGAAATAGTACTATTGTTATTATGAGCGCATTTTATAATTCCCCTACTACACGTCTGCCGATTCTATTCTCTTGTCAGCTTCAAATAACATAACCAAATGGCTCACCCCTATACACTTTTACATCTGCCTGTTTGGCTCCCTTTAAGAAACAGAAACACTTTGTTTCGCCCCATTGTAGCGCTCCTGCCGCCATGTAGTCTCGCCTGCCACCAGATCCCACGACGTATTATCGCCTTCGCGTTGTCCCTTTCTTTGTCGCTTTCTCCTTCGGTCCTTGTCCTATCCTTTGCCGCCACCCCGGCCGCGTCCTTGAGTGACGTCACCTTTTGTGGGTCAAAGTCAGGTCGCCGGTGAGCTGACAGCGGCGGTGGCCGCGGGCCTGGTCGCCTAGAGGCCGTGTTCGTGAAGGCATGTATTTGCCCCGTCTCTTGTAATGTCGTCCGGTTTGTGCCTGCCTGCATATTTAGCCGTAGTATCCGCAACTGCTATTGTCTGTGCGGCGGCCTTTTTAGCCCGCAGGCCCCCTACAGAATACACGCAATTACTACACAACTGCCGTTATATATTGCAACTTCGTAGCAGACTTCATAAGAGTGAGTGAAGTCAATTGTCCTTACACTTCTTTTCTAGGCCTGACTTTGACCCTGTATTTAAGCAAACTGCGGCTGCTGCCGTTCGCAGTTTACTCCTGCGACAAAAATAGTCAATGTTTGTATTCAAGTATGGCCGGCGGCAATATTAGATGTCGCATACGGCGGCGTCACGCACCCAAGTAGGCGACGACCCATATTGTTTATGCTGGTGCATACAGAATACTCCGTTGTGGACGCTGTTACTTCTGTTACAGCGACCTCTACATGACGATGCAGACGCGGTCGTCCGTATAGAGAGGGCAGTTAGCTTCCCGGTGCGCGTCCTCCACTCAGTAGCGGTGTCCGAGAAGCGCATGTATATATGTATATCGCCAAATACTAGCGCAGCCGATCTATTATCGATGTCGATGCTGGCGTTGTTGCCAATGCGTTGTTGAGTTGTCATCTGCAGCCATAACAGTCAATAGCGGTCAATCCTTTTGTTTAACGAACGCGTTGTTGCTGGCCATGCTCTGGGATGTGGTGACGTACCGAGCTTGTGCCTATCTCCCGCCACTGTTCCCGACTGCCCCCGCGGTGGCGCTAGTGATGTTCTCGTTTCGCGGTCATGGTTGAGTCTTTTCAAGCGCTCATCAGTGTGACATTATGTAGCGTGCCTATTATCTTTGCCGCTCGGTGGCGATGGCCACTCGGCTTTTCTGTTGTGCCACTCTCCATGTGACTAGTGCACTTGAGCGCTGTTACCGCTGCTACCTTCGCTGCACTTGGCACTTACCGTAAGCGCTGTACTGCGGCGACCCGGCGACCACAGCCGTCACTTTTTGATTTCCCCTCAGTTTGTTTGGACTCAATCTCAAGGGCGGGATCGCTGAGCAGCACCTAAGGCATAGGGTGGAGGGTGTGGGGACTGGAAAGGGGGGCACTGCGCGCGCCCAGAGACAGTGACGGCTACGACAGCGCAATGGGAGAGTCACTGCTGCTTTACGAACGACGGAGAAGTGGCCGAGCGGCAACGATTATAAGAGTCCTATCCTCAAGGTATCGGGTATGGCGACAGGTGCTCACGTATGATACTGCAGGAAGAACTGAAGTAGTGAGAAGGCGATAGAAGAGAAAAAAAAAAGAGCTTTTCATGCATCGACTAAATGGGGAAAGTCTCTCGAGAAGTAGGTTATGTACATGGTCGACTGCCTATAAGAACTCGAGCGACAGGATATTCTTAAATGTGCTGACGAAAAAGTTAGGGATGAATTACGAAGGTAAAGAAACCCTTCGTACTTTTTCGATAAAGGTAAAAGCTGGCTTGTTAGGGAAGCAAATTGAGGGAAATTGTTACATTAGAGGCCTCTGATAGTTACAGAATACTCATTGTATTGGCCTAACATAGTCGCTGTGTGAAGACTCAAGCAAAGCGGTATTTTTTGTGGCTATATATATTTAAACCTACATATGTAGGCAAATCTAATCATAGATAGGTTTATGCAGCTAAGTATAGAGCTGGCTTTGCTACTTGAACCATACAAAAAGACGGCTGAAACTTTTACCGAATAGAACGTACGCAAGAAATCCAGCAATATAAAACGTCTATATTAGGAGATATTTGCTTTATCGAAAAAGTCCTGTTAAGCCTATTGCATCGGCTTGCCCCGGTCAATCTAAGCTAGGGCTTAAAATCTGCTATTGCTAATCTAATGCAACTCAATCCGGCTGTGCTAGACTGAGGGCATCATCGGAGGGACTACTCGCTATTTTCGCTAGCCTAGACTACATACGCGGCCACACAGCATGTCTATTATTCGTAGAACGCATTGAAACAGTTGCTCTATCGCAAACCTAGAAACACACGTTACAGAGGAGACCCGTGGCACTGTATCAGACCTGACTTAGATTAACACTCGGCACGGAATATGCGTGACAGTACGTATAATGGAAACATCTGAATGAAGATACGTGAAATAAAGCAAACAGCCAGCCTATAATCGGTGTCGTAGAAATGATTTTCAAACCAATCCAATCTGGTCGATGTCTTCTTAGAAGACATAGACCAGGTTACACGGTGGCTTGGATAAGCTGCGAGCATCACTGATGACATGTCGACCCAGCAGGTCACCCGTCTACGTTAGTATGTTCACCCGCATTACACGATTTAAGTTCGATTAAACCCTTTATGCGTCGCCATATTATACAGGTAGCGCATTTTCATTCTATTATATATATATAGAGGAATAAGACGCGTGGCCTTGCATTAAGTGGCCTTGTTCTCGAAAGCTTGAAGCTGCTCGATGAAGCTTATTTGCTGAATTTAATTAGAAGTATTAGGTATGATCGGTTATACAGACGTTTTGTCTGGCAGATGTGTCACACAAATTACGCTCGGATGCCATGGCTTGTCTGTCTACTGTAATGGTACAAAAGAGATCCATGTTACGAGCTATAAGATTCTACTCTGCACCACGTCATGGTGGCACGAAAAGCTAGACTGACTTTGAAAAGAGTTCTACATAACCATAGCTTGATACAGTTATACGGTATTTACAAACCCAATTTAATTAAGGTTGTGGCCTATGCCAGAGTAAAGACCACATGGAGGTAGCAGAAAGTCAGTAAATATTTTACTATGCAGCCAGCATTACTTGGTACTGCACGACTTTCGACAGACGAAAAAGCTACCGGGAAATTGATCTAAATAGATATTTAAGAAATCTAAAAGTACCAGTCCTGTTTTACCCGCGTTCACCAAAAGTATTGCCGAACAGAAGGCGTAGAAGCTTTTCGTTACGGGTATCTTTCTCTGGCTTTAGCAAAATAGCTATTTGAAATGTTTCAAACTAATTTGTATAACGGAAAATCCATTCAATAGCTGAATTAAACGATCTGTGTCTATGTGTCCACCTACGCGCCTACCTGTGACAGAGGCCCGACCTAAACAAACTGAATCAGGCCTGAAAGAAATTGAGTCACTGTCGACGCTTTTGTAGCGGTCAGGACTTCAGTCCCTTATAGAACAACGAGGAAAATCTTCTCCCGTAGAGATCTGATCTGTCATGTCGCGCGCGTATGGCAAACGCTATGTAAAAAGTATCTATTCTATTCATTCTCAATGTTTTTAATTAGTCTCGATATGAACTCGTTTCTGGCCCGCTCTCAGCTGCTGCTCATCCTGACGTTACGCGTC